GTTTTTAACATTTATTAAATATGAAAAAATACAAAACATATGTCATGCAATGAAGTGTGGTACAGTGAAACATGTAAAGTTGAATACCTCTATAAGTGGAACACCTCCCAAGTGGAACACTTTTCAGTGTCCTGAGACCAACTGACTCAATGTTAAAATGAACCTCTATAAGTGGAACACCTCTGTAAGTGGAACACTTTTCAGTGTCCCGAGACCAACTGACTCAATGTTAAAATGAACCTCTATAAGTGGAACACCTCCGTAAGTGGAACACCTTTCAGTGTCCTGAGACCAACTGACTCAATGTTAAATTAACATCTATAGTAGCAGAAAGAATACCTATAAGTAGAACACCTCCCAAGTAAAACACTTTTTAGAGGTACCAAAGCTGTTTTACTTAGCTTAGCTTAGAAATGTTTTACTGTATTTGTAGATGGTAGAAATAATTATTTTAAGCATAAACATTGATATGAATATGGTAATATAAATATTATTTTCTTCAATGGTATTGCTTCATATCTTTGGCCAAGAGACTATGTATCAGAATCTCAAGGTAGTTTGTAGCTCACATGGTACTAAGCCATTGTAATCACCCACTTGTTGTTCTTTGGTATGGGGCCATGTTATGTCACACTTTTGCGTCATCTTCCCAAGGGAAAACATCATCACAATGCTTCTATCCTCATTTCACCTTCAGTTCATATATTTATATCATGTGTACTGAAAGGCCTGAAGCGTAAGCTGATCTTGACCTTCACACAATGATTGAATACCTTTACAGTGAATTTTTGATTTCTTCAGGTGAACCATTCAAGGTTAATAAAGATTGAAAATGTTTTACTTTACAGGTATTGATATAGTCTCTGGCATAAAAATGAGTAGTGAAAATAACTCATTGAAATGTATGTGGTTCTACTATTAAGATATTTGATGATTTTCAAAACCATATGATGATATTTCAAACCATATGATGATATTTCAAACCATATGATGATTTTCCAAACAATATGATGATTTAATAAAAGTAGGAACGTGCTAATCTATACTGAGTGATGTTTATATCAACACCCAGTTGCCTAATAGACAGTACTCTAATGCACAGCCACAATAAATGGCATAACTTTGACTTATTTGTATAGGACAATGTCCTGTTTCATGTAGCTGTATGGTAGACTGTACAGATGTTCTATGACTTCACTAAGTTGTGGCTCAGATGTCTTGAGGAAAGATAAAAAGAGCAAAAATAGATATCAGCTTACTGTACTGAGTCTTGACACTGAGTTGAAGCATGCTTGGCTGATACATTGTCCAACAGGTATATTGCTAAGTGGTATATCCAATATTGCCATCAGGTATATTGCTTAGGGGTACATATATTGCCAACAAGTATATTGGTTAGGGGTATATTGCCATTAGGTATGTTGCTTACAGGTATATTGCTTAGAGGTATATTCCCTGCTTAGGGGTATATATATTGCTAACAAGTATATTGCTTAGGGGTATATTGCCATTAGGTATAATGCTTAGGGGTATATTTCCTACATTCACATTGCCAATAGGTATATTGCTTATAAATTTAAGCTAAAACGACTTAGGTATAATAATCTATCTAAATTTTCTGTTTTGATGTGTTGCCTGAGTCTCAGAGCTTAGTACAGCAGCTCTCTTTTTAAGAAGCAACTTTATTTTGAAATCGCTTGAGTATAGTTGAAGGGAGATTGAAGTTGTTTAGATTCCACTTTGTTTGGAAGCTGGCTATCTAGATAACTGATTCAGAGTGATTGACCTTCAAACACTCATTTACTGCTCATCTCGTGTTCTCTTTGAGTAACAAGGCGATCAGAATCTTTTGGAAAGAGCTCAATTTTCTCTATACTCTTCTCCTTTTGTCCATCTGTAGAATATGTTTGGGAGTATGAGGAAAAACAACTTAATGGATGCTTGATTATAACTCTGGTTGAAATTACATCATATAAATTAATATAAAGATATGAAAGGTAAGTGACATGATAAGATTTCACATACTGTGCCTTTAATTCATTGTCATTTTTGGTAGATAAGATGAGGAATTGAAAAGCTGAGTTTTCTGTATAATTCTTGAAGTTATTAACAAACAGAAAGTTAGGAATTCTGAAATCTATTGTTCTCTTCCCATGACATCATTGTAGCCATGGTTACAACAATTCATTTAGGAATTCTTTATTTTTATGGTGGTTTCTTGGTTAAATAAAGCTACATGTAACTAAGGTGAAGGAGCTAGAAATACATGATGTTGTATTCTAATCTATAGAATTTTAGATTCTATCACCCTAGTTACCACACATTGATGCTATGTTCTGATGATGTTCCTGTTAGTTTATCCAACTAGAAAAACAGCTTTTGTTATTTTTGTAACACAGGGAAATGTTTAACTAATTCAAGCAGACAATATCATCCACAAAAAGTCTGCTTGTAAAACCATAGAATGCTTCCTGGTGTTTTCTGCTTTGTTGATATTTCTAACAACTGATCTGAGCAGGTTATTTTTGTAATTTTGCTATTTCTTTTTTCTTCACTCATGTATTTTGATACCGCATATGGCTTATGTACCTGTTGAACCTTTTTGTTTTAAATAAGATCTGTTTATCTAAACTTGTTATTAATAATCAATCAAATAATTGAAATTATAACGCACCTTATCTTTGAAGAAGTAAAGAAATCATAATGTAATTGTAAGGGACTCGTTCAGAGCCTCATTATAGCAAATGGGACATACTGTACTCATCATGCTTTGAACATTATCTAGCAAAATATTTGCCAGGGAAATATTAATAAAAAAGATATCAAAGGATTGGCAGGGTTTTATTGAAAGCTTCTTCTGTCATCGCATTATGTATCACAAAAGTTTATAAAAAGTTATGATGGTCTTTCTTACATTTGTGTTTACATGCAAGTTAGGTACAAGTACTATCTGCCAGTTAAATATATTGAACTAGTAGACATAGCCTCAAACGTATCCATTATGTTTGTTGTATAGTGCCCTGAGCAGCAAATTAAGATAATTGTACCATATAATTTAGATCATTTTCCAAATTTTGGTATATTGCACTGTGAATTAATAAGTCGCTTGCAGTTTCGATCTAACATAGCACTATTTGTAATTTATACAAAGTAAAGTATTGAATATGTTAAATAAATGTTATTGTTATAATTTTTTAAATGAAGTTCAGTTTTCCTGGAGTATGTTGGACTGTCTATATAATAGTTCTCTAGGCACTCGTTATCTTGGTTTGTGCAAATGATCTGGGAGAGCAATTAGTTTTAATAGTAGTTCATTTTCATGATTGTGCTGGTCATTTGTATGCCATAGGGCCTGTTAATTTTATGTTCACATTGCAATGTCTAAGTCCTGTATCACAACCATTGTTCAATTTGGGGTCTCAGACAATATGGGTTTTCTAAAATATGGGTCTTTTACAATATGGATTTTCTATGATATGGGTCTCTTACAATATGGATTTTCTACAATATGGGTCTTTTACAATATGGGTTTTTTACAATATGCATGTTTAACAATATGGGTCTCATGCAATTGAAGGTCTGAGGTCTTTAAATATGGCTCTTGTATAATATGGGCATCCACCCTCCTACAATATGGGTTTTGTATAATATGAGTTATATGATATAGGTCTCCTTGGTCTTTGGGCCTCCTACAATATGGGTCTTGAAAAATATTAGTCTCCTACAATGTAGGCATCTTATAACATGGGTCTTATAATGAATCTCCTATAATACATGTCTTTTGCAATATGAGTCTGCTAAAGATTACATACCACATTATATTAAAAACGTCTGCCAGGATTTGCTCTAATTAAGAAATATAGACCGAAGAGCAGGGCTACTAGTTTCGAATACACCCCGCAGGGTCTAGGCACAAACGTTTTCTGTACCCCGAATGACCGAAAGGAGTTAGGGGTTTGAAAGCTTTTGTGCCTAGCCCTAAGGGGTGTATTCGACGACATTACCCCTGCTCTGAGGTCTATATTATGATTCGAACATGAAAACTCACCAAAATGTTTCAAATATTCATTATGGTCTGCCATTACTACGTCCGTCGTTATGACGTCACACATTACTTGTATCACCAGGGGTATTGTTCGCGAATATACCCCGAGTGAAATGTTGACTTTGTTGACAGTTAATAGAAGGCGTGAATACAGTCATGTTCGAATCAAATTTAATACGCTGGGTTTGTCATTAAAAACGTAACATGCTCCATCAGGTGTCAACTTGCTATCAGTCATTGTTTTATTGATGTAAATGTCAAAATAAAATATATAACTTCAGGTTATTTTATGTTTGGAATGATAAATGTTGATTCCTAGTTGTATATCATTTTTTCAATTGTAATTGAAACAAATGTTATATATGGGCTGTCAAAGATTTGTTATGTGCAAAGGAAAGGGAAATAGAGAAATCAGCAAGAAAAATAAAATTTATCTCGACCATGAAATATTTAGCAGTGACTGTATATTGGATTTTGAGGGAAAAAATGATAAACCAGGAATAGATTGAAGAGACATTTTAGACACTGATATATTGTAGAAACACAATGGAACTTTCTAGAATCGGGCCTTATAGCTCTTATATTTTGATGGTACTGTATATTCTATATAGTTTTATTGTTAAATAATTTTATGGTTGTTAGGTCCTGATATTTTTTTGCATTTTTCATATGTTGCTCTTTGTGGCCTCCTTTAGAATTATATTCCCTTTAAGTTTTTGTTATGTTGTTTCTAGTACAATAAGACCACACAGGAGGTGTTCTACTTACAAAGGTTCATTTTATATTAACTGAATGGGTAAAGAGACTCACTTAAGTGTTCCACTTCTGGAGGTGTTCTACTTACATGTTTATTCCATTTTACAGGGTTAATAAACTGCACTATGTTGTATAAAAACTCTAAATGTTTCTAGGCTAAGAAAAGTTTGTGAAAGGATTTTATGTTTTGTTCTTTCAGGAGGTCCTGGCCAAGACCAGTCTTGAGACACACAAACTTGACCTAATGGCTGAGAATTCTAACCTGAAGATCAAACTTGCGGCGAGTGAGAGAGACAAATCTGATTTCCAAAAGGACTTTGATGTCGCTCAGGTAAGTTTGTTACCCTAGACTAGTGGTTTTCTGTACTCTTTGAATAAGAGATAACTCTTTGATCTTGTCTATGACCAATCATATCCAAGGAAAGTGAGTTAACCCTTTATAATAGATTGACTCATTTGCTCTCTTTAATAAGAGATTATTCTTTGATCTTGTCTATATTCAGTTAAATATATTTTCCAGTAATCATCATTTTGATACTCATCACATCTTTCTGTTTTATAAGCATTCTCATAATTGATAAAAAATGAGACAATGATTTTTCATCCAGTGTTATCATCTAATGTTGAAATGAAAATATAAGATTGGCTCAATGGGTATAATGTACTGTAGGAGTACACAGTAAGCATGTATCTGTGAGATCATTTGCCAATACATTCAATGAACTGAAAAATGTAATCTGTGGCTGCATTTGAGCTACAGGTTTTCCTTAATTGAGTGATACTGCAGCAGTGATCTTCTCCCCAGCATTAAAGCGTGTGGGCGCAGCACCTACCTCTGAAAATGAGAAAATCATGAAAAATTGGCATATCATGATCAATTTTAGCCTGAATTGAGAAAATGAAAATTTTGCACCCACTTGACAAAAAACCAAGGAGAATGCTGTACGATATCCTCAATGAAGTAGCACATGTTACTACATTGTAGTTTGTTACATTGGGCTGGGGGATAAACTGGCATTGTAGGAAAACAGCATCTGATGAGATCTGAAAATAACTCAAATCTCTTTAATCAGAATACAAGGTAATCGTCTTCAGGGGTATGCTGACACAAATTACATTAAATTACATAGAATTAAAGAGTATAACTTGTAATAAATGAGAATGACTGTAACTCTATCTAGGGATAATAACAATCATGGTCTAAGGTAACTACACAAGAAGAATCTGTTTAGCATAAACAATTTTGAAATTCATGCACATAATAATGATCGGGGTCCATCATTTATCTGTGCGTTTCATTGATTATAATTACCTTTATCATGAGAATATAAAAAACAGTCCCCATCCTTCATTTACACTTTCTAATAGTTCATTTCATAAGAGCTCCATTTAAATTAATTATTAGACTTTAATACTCAGTGTCTCCTTGGAAAATAATGCTTAACATGGAAATTAATTACTTGGCCTTAGTTTAGACACCTCGAGCATCCATATATGTGTGAATAAATCCCATCACAGATCAAGCATTATTGTTGCTTAAATATGTCACGATAATTTGACATTCTTTATGTTCGCAGCAACATATCTTAACTAAGTTGCAGTTTCAATTTCCTGCTTCATGCTAAAATGCAATTTTGTTCAATTTTCCTTAGTTATTAAAATAAATGAAGCCATTAAATAAGTATTTAGCCTATAGGCTTCCTCTGATTGTTAGTGCTAATAAATGAACAACAATTATGATGTGTCAGGATAGATAGGTTTTGGAATTAAAATTGAGTAAAAATGGAATTGGTTGAAAATCACTCCTATAGGTTAAGTGTGGGGTCCTTAATCTCTGTTATATCATGTTGACTTTTTATCGTTATTTGAAAAGGTACTATTTTGCCATCATCTTGTGCTGATAGGTGTGTAGGTAGGCGCTACATGAATGAAATCTTGTTTCTTCCTATATGTGGTAGGGAGGGAGAGGGTAGGCCTTCTTTCCTGGGGAAATGAGATAACAGGAACAAAACTGATGTCATTTGTCATTTGGCAGTCTTCAATGTACATATAGAATTAAAGAAATATATAACATATTTGACCATCTGTCAATCTATTTTTCCATCTAACCTGCTCAGGTTCTTATCATTACAAAACAAAAAATCAGAAATTGAAAAATTGACAAAGCTGACGTCATGCTTGTTATAAATTACTTGTTTCTCAATCAATCATATTTTAGAGTCAGTTTCTCATTCAGCTGTGAAACAAAATGATGAATTTTCAATTCCCTAATGTGGATTTCAATTTCAGAGGCAGATTAATGAACTTCAAGGACGTATAAATGAAAGAGAGGCTGAGCTAATGGACCTGAGGTTGCGTGTCGGCCGCAATGGCACAATCGCCAACAAACCAGCAGAAGGTACGATTCATATTTTTTATTTTCTAGTCTTGGAACTGTTTGCAGAGATTTTAGTTTACTACTTTAGAGTTCTCAGTTTCTCCTGACTACATGTAGTGTAATCTCTAATGAATTAATTTTCTGCTATTAAATTATGATTTATTAATTTGATTTAATATCTTACTTATAAACCTAATATTTTTACTACAGTACTATCTTCTGCTATTTTGTTGTTTCATGGAGATACAAACAATTTAAAAAATGTTTTATGTTGTTTTATCTCCATGAGAATTGGCTTTGATATTGTAACATTGTAACCATGGTAATATTGTTGTATGTAGCATTTTCAGTTACTATAGTAACCCTTGTGGCTGTAATCCTCTTGTGTGTTACAAGGGAGGTGAAATCCCAGGTGACCCATGTTTTTATGCTTTGATTTTATTCAATATGGGTTCTGGGTGTCAACCTTCCTTGAATGCAATCTTTATTTCATGCTTATTTCCTATTGACCAATCAGATAGCAAAGAATCACCGAGCAATGGAACTCTGGGAAGGGAGAGTCAAGAGCGTACCTTGGAAAGAGATAAAACTTTAGAAAGGCTCAAGAGAAAACGTAAGATACCAGCTTATGGTGCATGCTGGGTAACAATGCAGATGTCCTTTGTTTGTTAGGTGCTTCCCAAAGCATGATGGGATACTAACACTTCATAGATGTACAATAATGTGGTTTATTGTAGAATTGCATGGCGTAACTGCTTGGAATATTGTGTTATATTTGTTTTATGTTAAATGTTTCAATGGTGAAGGCTATGTTGTATAAACAACGTGAGATTTTTGTCAATTGTGTTTTTATGTCACCACCACAAGTGGTGACATATTGTTACAGTTTCCAATTTTTTGTGGATGGTGTTTGGCAGTTGGTAATCTGTGGTTGGTGTCAGTGTTTGGCAGTCAGCATCTGTAAAAAATGGCAGGTGGTGACATTTTGCATGTTAATGCCTTGTTAGCTGTTTTAGCTGACGTCAACAATCTATTTTTTTCCTTTTAGGGGGAGAAGGTGATATTTTGGCCCAGTTTGACTTTTCGATGTTGTAGGGTGACTTTAAAGCTTAGCGCTTTCCTTTAAATGGGTTCCAGAGTACTCATTAGTCTTTTAGACTGAGGCATGATACCTCACTCCAATTCTCATCTGCCTCACTATAACAGCCAAAAGAAAATGTTCCCTTAACCTCTTGAATCCCAAGTTCTAAAATAGGTTGAAACCAGATAATTTTTCATTTTTGCCAGCTTTTGACATTTTACTACATACATATACAACAGACGATGTTCAATTTAGTAAAATTAGACGACAGTGATCATTTTTAGACATTTTAAAACAATTTTTGTGTAAATTGGATAAAAATTGTTCAAATAAGAGCAATTTTAGTGAAAGATTTTGTGACAGATTATCTCGTCACTCTGGGTTTCAAGGTCATTTCTGGGGTGACGAGAAATCTTGTCACTCTGGGTAGTCAAGAGGTTAATGATTGAAACATCAATAAATATGTAGATTTGGACAAAAATGTTGAGTCGGCAAAACCCTAGTAAGCATCCTGAGTTCTTTAGAAAAATAGATGTAAACAAACATGAGATTCATCAAGAGATAATTCAAATAGGAGATGAAAATGACGATTGAATGGTCTTTTTGATTGACTTATTGGGGCCAGGTTTATCTCTTAAGATCAGGTTTAAGCCTTCTTGTTCGAAATTGCTGTTTATTGAGCTTGGCTATATTGAGCTCCTTATGGTAATAAACCTCAGAAGAAATATATTTGATTGGTCACAGATTTCTTGAAACCGATATTGCAAAGATGAATTTACCAAAAGACTTTTGGCCAGGATTCTGATATTGTTTTCCATTTGGCTTTGTTCTATACATTTTTTTAATCATCATTAGACAGCATGCAATTTGACAACCTTTTGGTGATTTAAAACCTATGTGGGCAGTTCAAGTCGTTTCAAATTGCCTATATTTTCATTTTTTATTTGAGGCCACCTTCCAATTTGAGATTCAATGAAACTTTCATAATTGATTCTACAATTATTCAAAAATCAAAATTGAGCATTTTAATCAGGGGGAGGGGTCATTGGCTTTTGCAGATCATCAAAAATCAGATCGTCATATGATTTCCATTTAGGTCAAGCTATATATTTATATTTATTTTACAAGGGTTACTGGCAAGTGTGTCCCATCAGAGAATATAAAGGTTTCATACTGTCAATTATTCCAGGCTGAAAGTGTGATATAAAGCTCTCTCCTAATAGCATTTTATATATTCTGTCACCTAAGTATCCATTTGGGACCACTAGGGATATCCTTTGATTGATTAACTGTATTTCTGAAGTCCTCTGTTTATTGTACATTTTAGGTCTTTGGTCTCCCATCCCCGTTCAATGTGCTTTTGTCATTTTTCAGTGCATCTTGGAATATGACTTGCAACCTTATCTTTGTTTGTTTGTTGTTTTTTCTGTTTTCTTAATTTGTCAATTTGATGTGAATGAAGCATGAATGTCTCCTTATTGTTTTATTCTGCATTTTATTTTGAATTATATAAAATATACAGAGAGCAAAATGTCAAATGACACTTCTGGGTATAGGTCGTATGCCCCAATGTTGAAGTTGTGTCACTCGTCCAGAGTGGCAGACGAATATAATCAAGTCCCTTTCAGACCATAAAAATTGTCACCAAAGAGGGTATGTGCCAAAAAAATGTTTATTGTAACTTAATTTTTTTTGTATATTTAGCAATATGATTATTTACTATAAGTTTTGATTAGTAACAAATGACATTTGACCATCCATTGAACTACTTGATAATCATGGCTGAATGTCATTTGTTTATATCATGATTAACTTGACATACTTTTTGTTTATATCATGATTAACTTGACATACTTTTTGTTTATATCATGATTAACTTGACATACTTTTTGTTTATATTATGATTAACTTGACATACTTTTTGTTTATATTATGATTAACTTGACATACTTTTTGTTTATATCATGATTATCTTGACATACTTTTTGTTTATATCATGATTAACTTGACATACTTTTTGTTTATATTATGATTAACTTGACATACTTTTTGTTTATATTATGATTAACTTGACATACTTTTTGTTTATATCATGATTAACTTGACATACTTTTTGTTTATATCATGATTAACTTGACATACTTTTTGTTTATATTATGATTAACTTGACATACTTTTTGTTTATATCATGATTAACTTGACATACTTTTTGTTTATATCATGATTAACTTGACATACTTTTACCTTTTCCATGTTTTACGTTTCACGGTAAAAGGTCTTCTGAATGTTTTTTCTCCCCATTGCTCTAACATTGATAAATGGCCCATGTGACTCAGATTGCCTCTGATTGTCAAGTTTAGACAGTGAACGATCATTTGAAAATATCAATATTAACCTGAGTTTTGCCTAACTTCTTAGTCTGGTGCCAAGCTCCTGTTCCCATTTCTTCTCATTCTAATACAGGGTGGGGGAATATATATGAATGAATATGAGTGCCCAAACTGCCCAGAGATATAAACTTGAATATTGCATCATCAAGTTCTATGTAATTTATAGGTATATTTATGTCTGGGGAAGGTACATACAAGAACTGTTTAGGAAGTGAATGATGTATAGATTAATTTTGGGGAAAATAGTAGCCATTACTGATTATTAATCAGTAAGTAATGAAATTATAGTGTACATATTTTCTAAAGTCAATATGTACTTGAAATAATGTAATTGTTAATTAATTAGACTCTTTAGTATTGTTTGTATATGTCACCGGACTGATGTGTTTTTGTACACAGTGGGAATATACCTAGGAAATTGAAAAAAATGTTGTAGGCAATAATAGATTATAAGAGAGATTGATCACATTTTAGGAATATTTCCCTGGGGATAACTACCATATCCTAACTAAGCCTTTTCGTGTTTAGTACATGAAATGTCCTAATAGAAAATCAGGTTTCTATATGCCAATATTAGGGGTGCCTTCCTTGGGGGGGGGGGTGCTATTATTATATCACTATATGATGACATATTGTTCCAGTCATTTTTTGAGCAATCAGCATTTAACAGTTTGTATATCTGTAACAAATTGTCACATTTTTGTAACCATGTGCAATAACTTAGTAGGCAGTATACTGTGTTTATAGTATCTAAGGACCCACTCCCTGATCTATTTCAATCTTTTGTATGTTTTTATGGCACCACCCCAAGATAGTGTTTGGCACGCGGCAGATGGTGACATTTTGCATGTTACCTTGTTAAAATATTTTTTCCCAATCAGCTATATATCTGTTGGAAGCCCCAAGTACACTCAGGATTTGTCTCAAGAAAATAAATTTTATTCTTCCTTAATTTAGAATCTTCACCAACCTTATGCAAGAGTAAGAAAAAGCAATCATTTAACAAGCGATAAAACAGAATGTAATATAAGAGATAATCTGGATCAGATGATCCAATATATCACAAAAACAATATCACAAAATGAATTATAGTGATACTCATTCTAATTAGACTCTGTTCATCATTATAGATGTCAGCTTAATTTGATGTCAGCTTAATCAGATGTCAGCTTAATCACATATCAGCTTTATCAGATCTAGTCTTGATTGTTATCTAGTTTAGGTGTTTGGGTGGAAGGTCCCAAAACTTTCATTTAGAATATGAATAATCCATTAAAGGCCCCATGTAGTGTTTGAAAATATGTTTTTATCATTCATTTACTATTTTTCATGACTTTAGAATTGTTTTAGAGATTTTTGAAAAAAAGTTTTGCGAGAAAAAAAGGTTTTTATTTCTCAAATATTCAGATTTCCCGGCTCTCCCCATTTTTCAAGTAAAAACTTTTGGGTTATGGGTTGGGTGTTTCATTTATTCACCCTCCCTCTCTCTCAAACCTGTTTATACTGTATATTTTTCATTCTAATTTATAAAGTAGCTGCCACACTAGGCCGTGTGGGTTCAACACTCGCCACTGCGTGAATAATTTCGGCATTCAATTTTTGATTACTATTTTTTTTATGTGAGGGGGAAATCATGCAGCTATAAAACTATTTGTTTTGCCCACATTGCATTCATGCTTTGCCCTGTCATCTGCTTTAGAGTATTCACACAGTGGTGAATGGTGAGCCCACACAGCCTAGTGTGACAGCTCCATAATTTGGAAATGAATTTGCAAGAACATTATGTTAGACGTGTACATGTATAATACTGTTTGTATGATGAAGATATTGTCTTTATATTAAAGTGCTTGAATTTTTGGTGGCCATCACAGTGAATATACATCCATATATTTATGTTCTACTGTTTATATTTTACAGATGCTGAGGTTGACAAACTCAAACAAGCAGTTGAATCACTGATGACTGCAAACAATGAAAAGGTAAAATCATTACATTGTTCACCTCTCAAACAATGAAAAGGTACAATCATTACATTGTTCATCTCTCAAACAATGAAAAGGTAAAATCATTACATTGTTCACCTCTCTAACAATGAAAAGGTAAAATCATTACATTGTTCATCTCTCAAACAATGAAAAGGTAAAATCATTACATTGTTCATATCTCAAAGGTAAACATATTATATTTTGTTAATCTCTTATTATGTAACCACAAGAAGAAGTAGAACTTTTTTGTGGAAGGTGTTCGGCAGTTGGTATTTGGCAGTCAATGTTTGTAACAAATGGCAGGTGGTGACATTTTGCATGTTAATGCCTTGTTGTGTATGTAACTCATACCTTTTATATTTGTAACCTGAACATTGGATCAGAGAATATGACATTTGTCATCTACTAGAGAACAATTGTAATATTGCATTGGGATAGAAGTGTCCTTTAATATTGCATTGGGATAGAAGTTTCCTTTAATATTGCATTGGGATAGAAGTTTCCTTTAATATTGCATTGGGATAGAAGTGTCCTTTAATATTGCATTGAGATAGAAGTTTCCTTTAATATTACATTGGGATAGAAGTTTCCTTTAATATTGCATTGAGATAGAAGTTTCCTTTAATATTGCATTGGGATAGAAGTGTCCTTTAATATTGCATTGGGATAGAAGTGTCCTTTAATATTGTATTGGGATAGAAGTGTCCTTTAATATTGCATTGGGATAGAAGTTTCCTTTAATATTGCATTGGGATAGAAGTGTCCTTTAATATTGCATTGGGATAGAAGTGTCCTTTAATATTGCATTGGGATAGAAGTGTCCTTTAATATTGCATTGGGATAGAAGTTTCCTTTAATATTGCATTGGGATAGAAGTGTCCTTTAATATTGCATTGGGATAGAAGTGTCCTTTAATATTGCATTGGGATAGAAGTGTCCTTTAATATTGCATTGGGATAGAAGTGTCCTTTAATATTGCATTGGGATAGTAGTGTCCTTTAATATTGCATTGGGATAGAAGTGTCCTTTAATATTGCATTGGGATAGAAGTGTCCTTTAATATTGCATTGGGATAGAAGTTTCCTTTAATATTGCATTGAGATAGAAGTGTCCTTTAATATTGCATTGGGATAGAAGTTTCCTTTAATATTGCATTGGGATAGAAGTGTCCTTTAATAAAAAAAAAACTTGCAATAAACTGAGGGGTATTTCCAGTAATATAAAAATGCCTGTCTCGATCTCAATCACCCATGGGATCTCATATGGATTATTGGGAATTTGTGGTGTACTTTTGGATATGACCATTAGAAATGTTGAATTAATAGACTGTGAATATGTTACATCATCCTGGGCTCTAGACTAAACAATCCAACTGTATATTTACTCAGTAATTAGCATCAATGAACCTAATGAGCATTTAATTATTTTTATAAACACAGTTATGTTATGAACTTAAAGGCACTCATTATAATTATCTCTATAAACACAAGTATGTGACGAACTTAAAGGCACTCATTATAATTATCTGTATTTAATACAAGTATGTAATGAACTTAAAGGCACACTTGTGGTCGCCAATGTTAAATGAACTAACTGTTTATGTGTGGCAAGTGGGGAAATAGACAATACATGCAAGAGTCAATACTGGATATAAGGCTATAAAAGGGACATGAGAAAAATATTTACATCTGATTCTATTTCAGGACCACCTGATAGAAGAGTTGAGGAAGAATCTCCGTAAATACAGAAGAGTTGAAGAGCTTATACATGGCAAGAAAGGTAAATAACACCAGTGTAAAAAATGTAAAATCCAGGTGGTTCATAAGCAGCAGGGAACAGGTAGTTTTCTCTTTCTGATTTTAAAGAATTCTGCAACTGTTTTCACGTTAAAATTTTAATTTCCAATAATTTTACCTGTTGTCATAAATTCTAATAAAACCCATGATAAGATTGGTTCTCTGCTTCTGCAGTGCTGTGTGTCTTGTTGATTCTGCAGTGACATCTTTAAAACAGCAAAAGAATTAACTACTTCAGGATACCATATATTTATTTCAAGGTATGTAAAATGCTAAAATATGTACATATGGTTGACAGAGCAAGCCACCTGAGTTCATATCAAATCCTTGTGTTTCTTTTAGACTCATTCCCAGATGAAGACACTAGTGACGGCCCAAGTCCCAAAACTTCTGTATCATCCATGGAGGGAATAAAAGCCTCCTCACAAAAGGTAATTGATTAAATATCTAAATATCTACAAGTATAGCCTTTGTATTTTGATTTTATATCCTGATCTCTAAGCTTTTATTGTAGTTTGATATACAAATGTTTTAATGATATAGAGCTTTATATGTCACTCTTTTCTGATCAGCTTTCTTTCATATTGTAACTGCTTAGAATACAGGGTGATCACTAGATTAATTATGAGTTGACATGTACTTTGTATCACTCTGTACTTTCATTCAAGTCAAATTCTATTATGATGAAACGGTATCTGGTCAACTCAGGCCCTAGTTACCCCTTGTCAACTTGGACCCTAGTCAACTTGGACCCAGTTATATTCAAAATAGATCAGGCATTTGCTATTTAAGAGGTAAAAGCAGTTAAATTGCTAAACATTAAGAATTGGAATATTTTAGATTTAATTGAATTTATTAATGTAATCTTTAAATATTGCTGTTTGTGTCAAATGATTATTTCATTTGTGAAGAATGATGATTTTTTAGCATTTAAATATAATATTTCCAATTTTTTGCATGGACAACATGCAGCATCTAGTTTTTAAGTTTATAATAGGCGAGTCATAGGCATAGCACTCGATACGCCTGGTATGCACGGGCATACCAGATTGTTGCAAATACACTCCAAATACAACCAAACTTCAAAATTTTCCGAGGGAGAACCCAGACTCTTAGACCCCCCTGAACGCTCGTTTTTTGCTTCGCTCAACTTGTATTTCTGTTATGGCTAATACTCCTAAAAATAGCGCTACGCCCTTGCGAGTTGTAATATTAAGAGTTGAATGTTATTCTCCATGTTAACAAAAAACCTCAAAGAATGAGAAACCTCAAACAATGTGTCTCAATTGTATTGTTTCAATAAACATATCTCATGGGAAATACATGTACATGTATATCTTCAATCTAGGTAATTCTTTTGACAAAAAAAAATAAAAAAATTCCTTTGACAATTTTTTCTCAAAATATTGTGCCTCCTTCACCTTCCCCAATGCATAGTAGCAGGTTATCATTCTTTTCAAAACATCTTTGTAATTCTGATGAGACTCTCCAAACACTTCAACATAAACAGACCTTGCCTTTATAAGGCAATCCAGTGCTTCCTCATACTCTTTGCTGTCGATGAGAGCAGCAGAGTAGTAATAATACATGTTAGCATTACCTGTATCTGTTTCCGTACCAGGCTCACACTGAGGAAGCATCTGGATGATCTTCCTACAACATTGTTTCAGGCTGTCATATTCCTTGTAGCTGAATAGAAATTCAGCCTTTGATATCATACAATGCCAGATGACACTAATACTAGCAGGATTTGATTCAGCCAATGCTATGGCATCATCTATATATTTCAGAGCCTCTGACTTATTACCAAGATCATAGTGAGAGCTAGCTATATTGTGCAAATGGTATGTTTTATCATACTTAGTTTGGAATTGATCTGAATGCACAGCATCAAGTAAGACATCAAGTCTAGCCTGATGGTCACCGTTCAAGGAATGACAGAATTGTACTTTACCAATTACATTTGTCTTGGTGACAGGGTATTTGTGTTGGTGCCATGATGTTTTTACTGATGCAAACATCGCATCAGGATCATCTATGACATCACCTGACTCTACTTTTGTCAACATTTTCACTCTCAGAATGCAAAGTTTGCAGTCGCAAAACAGAAACACTGATTTCATGAACTGTGGATTCATGTCAGTTTGATTTGTCAATTGATCTGTAATAGATTCTGATGTGCTGATGTATCTCAGCAGATAATGCTGCATGAGTTTGGGGAAGGGAATGGTAAGATTTTCTCTTGAGACTTTGTTTAGTGTGACAAGACTAACTGGTAATTCAGATGATTGAAATTGTTGCCAAACTTGGATGCTATCATGTTGTTGATTTTTAAAACAATATGTAAACAAGCGGATCCCTATGACAACATTGATCATGAACAGTAAGTGGGAACACATTTCTTGGCTCAATTCTTTGCTTAATTCTTCAATGATTTCCCATGGAGAGGATTTATTGATCATATAGAGATCCTTCAGGTTGTTTATTAAGATGGATGGGAATCTATAGTAATCTTTTTTTGCATGTTTACTAAAGAGGTCTTCATTGGACCAACCAGCATAAGCATACTTCATACAATCTTCTATGGTGCGTTCAAGACAAACACTGGACAAAGCTTGCTTATCCTCCTTTGAACGCACAAGGGCCAACTGGGATTCAAACTCTTTGAATAGCTCCTCATCACCCATGATATATGTTGATGTAGAGATGATTGTTGCAAGGTGGTAACCATGTTTCTTGTCTGCCTCAGTTGTGCTGAGTGTTGCCATATAGATAGGGGTCCCTATTAGACTCAGTGGGTCTTTTGTCACTGTCTTTTTGTGGCCAGGGGGTATCTTAGCAGCCCATGGCATGTTTCCATCTAGCTTAAAGCCACTGGGGGTAACATCGTCAAAAAAGTCATTATCATCATTTTGTTGATAGAAGTTGTTCAAGCTTGGAATGCCAACAGCAGGAAGGGGAGTCTCACCAAAGTTGAGTACTTGGATTTGGAAGTAAAAGTGCAAGTCCAGGAAATATTCATTGAACCTGTTACTTTCCGTCAAAAATAAATACTCCATGTCGGAGTATGGAGTTGTTTCTCCTCTGGCCAGGGAGCCTAGTCCAACCATTGTGAATCTACATGGCGGAGGCCCACACATAGATATACACTGTTCCATTATCTCAGCACTGAATTCTTTGATAAACTTTGTATTATTTTGACAAATCAATCTCGTTAAATCATTTATTTTTAGGTTGTAGTGGTTTCCTATTCCTTCTTCAGGTTTTGGACAGGCTTTCCAGACTTCCATTAGTTTTTCAACTTCTCCCTTCAGGCAACATCGATAACTAGTTAGTTCTTCCTTCTTGGTCTTGCCAATTTCTATTTTTGTGAGTTTTGATGTAGCTTGACTTGTATCAGATTGTCTAAGAATATTCTTCAAGTACAACATCTCAACTTCATTACAGAGGGGAGGTATCTTCTTTTGGTACTGACTGACATTAGATCCATCCTCTGCTGCAGCATTCAGAAAGGCACTGGCGCTATTATACAGGGCCACAGCATTTACATAGTGTTCTCTATCAGTTGATCCCTTCACACATCTTGCTTTGTACATATCTCCCAGTTGGATCATCTTGATTCCTTCTTTTTCATGATCCCGGATTAAGTTCTCTGTCATTTGACATATTTCCTTTCCTATCAAGTCTTCTTCATGGGCCAAACATTTATCTAATTCAACAGCAGCCTCCGCCATGGTTTGGTTTGTTATCTACCTGATTAAACAAGAGAATCAGTAAAGGGTATTGTATATGAATAGTGAAAAATAAGCTGTACTGATTACAAAAACTTAAACATGATTTTGAAATAAGTCACATATCTTCAGACTTAACCCAGCTTCTTTGAATTACAATTAAAAAGGTTGTTTTAAATATGTTTAATAGTGGTCATTATGAAAAATATGGTGTCACATTCTGTTACTTTCTCTAAATTATGATTTAAAACATTTTACAACTTACCTATACTGTGTGATGATTTATTTTGCTTTCCTTTATTCATATATTCAGCTATGTAGACAACTGTTTGAGGCTCATTTTCAAATAGACTGGTAAATCGATCTAATAAGCCAAAGTCCAACTTCTTACTTATTATCTGCACGTTTTTTTGTTTGTTCAGATTAATCAGTAAAAAATCATGACATCTGTCAGATTTCCCATAATATGCACATTTTTGAAACCTATATCCAATAGATCATGTATTAAAGCCTATTCTTATTATATCTGCGTGTTTATAAGTATGATGTATGTTAGGAATTATCTAATTTGCTGGGGTCTGAGTTGACTAGGGTCCGAGTTAACTTGGGTCGAGTTGACTAGAAGCTGATGAAACATATATGTGGTAGTTCATGATTTTATGCTGTGTGTCATGACCCCATACTTCCACTCAGATGCAGGTGGAGTGGAGTTTGAAAAGATCTGGACTGCTCGAGTTTCATATGAGAACGAATTTGGTACGACACAAACTGCATGAACCTCCTCTCCTGCTTTGATCTTTTGTTCAGTTACTTTGTTGAATTGTTAGTTTTTAGTTCAGATTTTTATTGTGATGATTTTCAAAAATCGTTTTTGAGGATATATCATATTTTGACCACTCAATTAATAGTACAATAACGTCATTTCTAAGGGCAATATAGTGAAATATTGGACCGAGGGCCAAAGGCCCAAGGTCCAATATTTCACTATATTGCTCGCAGAAATGGCGTTATTAGTATTATTACCACCGTTAACGACCAGGACTGAAACAGCAAGAAAATCTTATGCACTGAACGATATCTAACTTCCCGGGGAAAAATTGCCGGTCCAGAATATATTCTAGACCGGTCCATATGGACCACCACTATGACGTCACACATTTCTCAGGTCGATATAGTAAAATGAATGCCTTCTAAACTAGCACTAAAACCCCTAGAACTGGCCCGGCAAGGTGGTAATAATTGAAACACGTTCCTCGTTTAGTTTCGAGATGATGTATTTTAATTATGTTAAACAAAATGTACTTAACTTCATGTACTGTATGTTGATTTCTCCATGCATATCAAAGATATTACCCTGTACGTTTAAATAAATAGTTCTTGTGTGAATTGCTGAATGCTAGTTTGAATAGATGTACTTTTACAAATATTATTATTAGAGTATGATGTTCAGATCTGGAATCTGTCATAATATTCAGAATTTTGTGCCTTTTGATTTTCTTAGCGCAATAACTGAATTTTCACACAAGCAAATTTGTATTGATATTATCTTTCCCTTTGAATTATCGTTTTTACATCCATTGATAATGATTATTCAGAAAAAAGTCAAATGAGATATTAAAATTACTTAAATGAAAACTCCCAATTTTATTATGTATCAGATACTCATAAAAGTACACTGTGGGTATAGTACGAAAATAGCTATTTCCCTCTAATTTTTGTACATTGCATATTTAACACCATATTTTTTGTTAACAGCAGCCCGAAGAGGTCCATAGTCTGCCCAGACATATGCAGCTACCAAGTGCCACTAGTACCCCAGGTAATGTATACACATACTCTGTTTAAAGTACTCTATCACTTAAAAGAAAAGTACAGGTATTATTCTTGAAAAACAGACTTCTCTGTCTTTATGTGCACTCTGCACAATTCTTGTTCAAATTTTGAAGATTTTCTTTTTTCTATACTTTGATAAAGAATGATATTGTATTGCTTTTAATAATGGGATCTTTGTCTGCAACTTTAAGGGATGAACATTTATTTTTAGTATGACCATCCATGTCACCCCCCTCTCTAAAATATAGTGTTTGATAAAATGGAATTGAAGGGGATTCTCTCCAAATCTAACTTGATTATCCATGGCTAATGTTTTCCTTTTATTTTGCAGTAAACTCATTCTCAGAGAGTCCTACTAGGACTTTGACAAATGGCACATCCTTCAATGGTAATGGGACATACACAGGAAATGGCATGATGACACCCCCTTCAACCATCCATGTCACCCCCTCTCAACAAAGATCGCCAAATGTGATCCGCTCAAACAGCTGTGAAAATGTGACTCCCGTGCCAAATAATGAGGTTTGACTTAACAAAAATTAGAACTTGCTTGCCTTTTTTATTTTTCTCTCTTTCAACTCCAAAATTACATTCAGGTGGTAATCAAAAAGTAATTGACTCACTGACATTTACACATGCAATATACAGAGAAAGCATCATTCTTTATTGATTACCCCTTGTATTTCTCAACATTGTTCCCTATACGCAGGTTCCAACTTCATTTTATGTATTTTATAAAGCTGTTATAAAAAATAAAATAAAATGATTAATGTCTCTTTAGGGTAGTCCCCCAGGAGTGCGTAGAGGGGGACCCTACAGTACTCTACCCAGAGATGTCCAGCTAGCCGTCCACGTCAACTCAAACACCAATGGAAAGAACACCAACACAAAGCGAGGCTTTGGTAAAGGTTTCTTTAAGTCGCGAGGGCACACATCTGCAAGCCCTGCAGCTACTAAGTGGAGTTGCTCAGCTCCCAACTTAGGTGATGGCTCACGCTTACTATCAGCCAAGAGCTATGGCAAATAATGGGAAGAGGGGGGATTTTAATTTGTATGTATACATTGCATTCTGAAAACTAAATATTATCATTTAATTATTTGTTTTATTAAGTAGTATTGTTTAAATTTGAAAACTATGAACAGTTCATTTCATTTATTTTAGCATTTTGCTAGTGTTTTAATATTTTGATTTTTTAATTGGGGTATATTTGCCATGTGCTCTTGGTGCTTTTCTCTGTAGCTTTAATCACATCTTTCACATTGTATCATGAGGTACATATTGTATTATAGGATACAGTGTGGCATAGGGTACATATTGTATCATGTTGTACACATTGTGTCATTGGGTATACATTGTATCATATCATACACATTGTATCTTGGGTCTCATGTTGTATTATATAGTACATTTGTATTGCAAGGTACATATTGTATCATATCAAACACATTGTATATCTTAGGGCTCATGTTGTATCGTATGGTACATTTGTATTGCAAGGTACATATTGTATCATATCATACACATTGTATCTCGAGTCTCATCTTGTATTGTATGGTACATTTGTATTGCAAGGTACATATTGTATCATATCATACACATTGTATCTTGGGTCTCATGTTGTATCCTATGGTACATTTGTATTGCAAGGTACATATTGTATCATATCATACACATTGTATCTTGAGTCTCATGTTGTATTGTATGGTACATTTGTATTGCAAGGTACATATTGTATCATAGAGTACATGTACATAGCATTAAGGTTCTTAATCTATAAATCATTTGCACGTTCATTCACAGTTTAGGTTCCACATGAATGGTGGTAAAATATCACATCTTTGAGATATATAAGGTACAGGTAAACACTTAAGCTGTTACTGCTTTGCACTTCAACAGGAATTCAAATGAGCTCCAAAAATACCAAGATATCAGTGCGTGCCAAAATACTCCTAAATATAAAATTAATGAAAAATTGTTTGAACCTTGTTTCTAATTTTTCCAACTCCATTCTTTTAACCACTATCATCTGATACAACCTTTTGGAAAAATAATCATTTAAAAATTGGTTGAAATAATATTGTGTCAATAATGGTTGGACTTGGATTGCGCTAATATAACATTTTCACATTAAAAGATGTCACTGCTGCATATGGCTTGCATGAACATGCATTGGTGGAAAGCAATATTGCAAGAATAACAGAAATATGGTGCATTGGACTATTAAAACCATATAAATTAAAGTTGTTCTTTTGTTAAATAGACAAGAAGTGTCCCAAACTTTTAGGATTTGAAGTAAACATAATGTTGATCGTATGAAAGTATTTTAATTTTGTAATATGTATTTTGTAAGCACATTTTAGTTCGTATAGATTATTCTATTGCAAGTATAGTTTCTTATAAGTACTTTTCCTTTATTTCCACTTTTGCTTATTGTGTAAGCTTGCTTATATTTAAGTTCACTTCCCCGAAGAAGAAATGTTTGAAACAATCAAAGAAGGTAACTATAGTAACCATTCCTATGGCAACCAAATTCTTAAACATACACATATGATACACAAATGCTTTGTGCACTTTTTCGTGATTTTAAATCAAAGTACATATATGCTCATCAAACGAACATCTGCATTGCCATCTATGAATGTAAAACTTCACTGCTGCTAAGCTTTGACGAGGAATGATCATTGAATATATGCACTGCTTGTATGTAATTGTGCATTCGGGACTTCTGCTATTAAATTATGTGTGGTGTATACCTGTACATGTACATGTCCATCTTTGCATGACTGTAAGTTGATGAAAGGCGGCAGTTAATTCTCAGATTTGTTGAGTCTCTGGTAAAAATCAACATTGGAGCATTGGAATTGAAGTCACGGCTGTGGAAAATGAAGTTTTGTCAAAACCCTAACCAAGTGAAAACACATCAATGAAATACAATATAGTCAGAAAACAAAATACTATGCAACTCCAAAAAGTTTTCCTATCTTGTAATTTCAAAAAAATATAGATACATGGTCACAAAATGTCTGATTATTATATAATTGTGAAAAACCTCTCAGGCTTGAATATATATTTGTACAACATAACTTTATTATGAAAAATAATCAAAAAATTCTGACATTTAATGTTTAAGTTTTCCTTTTCAGCTGAAACAGAAGTTGCTGATTTTGATGATGGACAGTCTGACCCTGGTACAGCCCAACTACAAGTTCACCCCAAACCACAACAGACACAAGAGATAAAGAAGAAGAAAGGACTGAAAAAATTCTTCACAAAGTAAGTCAGATGTGTGGCTTTGAGAATATTCCATTAGTAGATTCAGTGCTCTATTCAGTGTAAAGTTTTTTCATTACCAGGTATGCATAAAATCATAATCCTTTTTGAAAAATAGGACCTTTTACTATTTTAACTTTGAGCATTAATTCTTGTCACAGTGTCAAATGCTCATTGGTTTAGCTAATAAACTAAAATACTTAGAGTGAATCAAAAAGATGGCGTGACCATTTTGTTCAATGTTATCAGTATTGACTTGAGGCAATATTCTTAAAAATCTGAGACAATGATATGTTATCAGGCTTGTTAAATTTATTGTTTTTATGTTATTTAGAATAAGGCGGAGCAGCTCTCAGGATCTTGAACAAGAAATGGAGCAAAATAGCGAATTCAAACGTGGAGGTGTTAGGGCAACAGCGGGACCAAGACTTGGCTGGTCCAAAGACACAAATAGAGGGTATCCTACAACTTTCTTTAAATCTATTTTCAGAGTCCTTGTTTAAGTCTTTGGTTCAACTTCTCTCCTTAGAACTTACACTTCCAGTAGGGTCTTCTGAAAGTAACATACAATCGCAATAGCTTTGTTTTACATACAGTCTTTTTATAGAGAAACAAAATTTTTAGATTTTAAAGTTTTTAAAATTCTGTCCATCATATTTCTTGTTTCATTTGTGATCATCAAGAAACTCTAAATATTTTATTGTTAAAGCATTTCATTTTATTATGTTAAAGTATTACATGTGGCAGTTTTCAAGCTATTTACCTTAAAGCACATGTATACCATTTACATATTTCAATTTTACACTTCCAGTGATATAGATATTCCCTTCGCCCGCTGGGACAATGATAAAGTTGCATTATGGGTACACCAAATAGGACTCAGTATGTACGTTGGTGAAGTTAAACGATGGTGCCGAAATGGAGAACAGTTATTACGTGCAACTCCTCACGATTTAGAAAAACATTTAGACATAAAAAATTATTTACATCGGAAAAAGTTGCAGTTAGCATTGCAATCAATAGGATCTGAATCGAACAAAGACAGTATGATTGGTACACTGGACCACCACTGGGTAACAAGTAAGGATATCATTTTTATCTCATACTTTTCCACTTTTTTCATTAGAATATTAGATTATCCCTCAAAAGGAAAGTTTCAGAAAAAGTCCTTGTAGTAATTGATTTTTCTCTAAAAATGTTTGCTAAATTCCAAATGTCACCCAGTTTTGTTTTTTTTAATAATCATTTATTTCATATATATACTATACATACAATAATACAGTGGTAACGTTTGACTATGTTACCCAGTAGTATTACATTTTTTACAGTCAATAAAATGTACCAGAATGGTTCAGATCATACTGAAACATGTCAATCAATTATAATTCAATATTTATTATTATTATTTAACAACGATGATGTGGTGACAGGGGAAAAAATGACCTATTTGTTTCTTTCCAGAATGGTTAGATGATATTGGCCTACCACAATACAAGGACTATTTTACAGAAAACAGGGTGGATGGACGAATGTTACACTACATGACAGTAGTAAGTTCAATTTCAGTTTCATTCTCCAAGACCAGAATGTCTCATTAATCAAATACAGGGCTCCAATCTCCAAGTGCAGGGATTGAGATTCACCTCTTATGTCACAATTGTCCACTGTGACAGTTTCCACCTCCAATGTGACAATATCCACCTCCTATGTGACAATATCCACCTCCTATGTGACAATATCCACCTCCTATGTGACAATTGTCAACCTCCTATTTGGCAAACTTTACCTTGAAAATAGAATTTAATACTCAGGGGACTGTTACAGTATTAAACTAACATAAGATAAAAGAGTTATTAAATCATGAAATCCCAAGTGTAAAACATTTAAGGTACTTAAGTATCTAAAAAGCAAGTTGGGAATATGTTATTTGTATTAATTAAACAAAAATCTTTTTTGCGGTAATTTGTCTTTGTCATCAAATTAGTCAACTTGTAACCTGGATGCACTTAGTGGGAACTAGAAGTAATTTAAGTGTTTAGACGGCACTTTTTATCGCACTTTGAAAAAGTGCTATGTTGTTTCTTTTTATATAGTCAGCTTTCTAAGTGTATGCTGAGGTTGATAACATATTGAAGACTTTATCAGTACAACTGAACAACCAATTTCATATTTCTGATGTTCATTAGATATTTTTGTCTTGCAAACATAAGATGCCCTGAAATAACGATCCGGAATTATAGATCACTACTCAGGGCAAACTAGATGTGACATGTCGCTATATAAGGAATTGTCATGCAACATGACATTAATATATTAAAACTAGCTCATGCATGCAATATATAGGTCATGGTGTTCTGATTGAAAATAGGGATTGCTGTGGTATTCAATGATGCATTAACACAGTACTGTTGATAAAACACAAGGTATTAACCACTAAGTGCTGTATGAATGGTTAATACACTCTATGGGGGTTTGCAGTCAGCAAGCTTACAAAGCATCTTTGTATTCGGTGGTAAATGGTAGACATGGCTTGTTCAGTGAAGGCACTTCACCTAGAGGATCATTTTAGCATATTTCTAATTTTATGATATTTAACATTATTGTAAATAATTACACTATAAACAATGTAATTTTCAAGGTTTTTGAGACACATTAGCGACAAGGTCTAGTATAGAATTTGTATCTTTATAATCTTAGAGTCCATTCAGCTCATACTTACATTGGTATATTATACTGCATATGGCTATGCGTTAGAGATGTATATGTCAAAAATTATCAGAGATTTCTATTAAAGGCACCATATAAAGTTTAAACCACTTTGGCTTATATTGTAGTCTTACCCAATGTTATCAAAGTGTGATATGTGAAACTTTTTTTTTTAATTTCAAAAAGTGGTTTTTGATAGACTTTTTGTTCCAAAATTTGTGAATTTATTTAAAACCAACTTTAAGAGGTCACTCATATCTTCTAATTAGCCACAATTCATACCAATGCATAGCATTCATCCTCCCATGTTTTTTGCCGAAAAAATTAAGAAAATCGGTTCATAAATAAGCGAGAAATGAACTTATCAGTGCATGAAAATGGTTCTGAGAAAAATGCATTTCAAAATTTTAGTTCTCATAGAAACCAATGGTACAATGATATCTAAAACATAATTTATTCTTCCTTTTAACCTAACATCACTAATGTTTCAAAATATTTTTGATATGTTAAAACATTGAAGTGGCCCATTAAATATGGCATTTTATTATAAAAATAGTGTGTCCTTTGTTCAACCTTTGCATTGGTGTTAAAAAGATAATCTTTTTTGAAATGCATTAAGAAATATTTGATGATTAAGAAATTTTTAACATTATTGTAAATAATTACACTATAAACTAAGCCGTTTTGGGACTTCAAATATACCAAGATATGTGTATTTGACACCAAATATCAATAAAATTTTGAAAATAGTAGTGCAATTCATTTTATAGCGACGCAGTATGCCTTAAACATTTCCCAGACCTATATTTTTGAGACTATCCTTTTAATACTGCGTCCCCAGCATTCATAAAAAATGGTGTTCAAGATACACTACCCATGCAAATTATTTTTGCATCTTGGAAGCCAGGCAGTATCTGTGTGATTTTATAAAAATTCGGAAATGTTCTTCAGATATGAGCCCCCTCTAAATATTGGGTGCGGAGGTACGTTTATGGAGCTCCTCCGCACCCAATATTTAGAGGGGGCTCATATCTGAAAAACATTTCCGAATTTTTATAAAATCACACAGATACTGCCTGGCTTCCAAGATGCAAAAATAATTTGTATAGATAGTGTACCTTGAACACCATTTTTTATGAATGCTGGGGACTCAGTATTAAAAGGATAATTTCAAAATATATAGGTCTGGGAAAGGTTTAAGGCACACTGCGTCGCTATAGAATGAATTGCGCTACTATTTTCACAATTGTATTGATATTTGGTGTCAAATACACATATCTTGGTATATTTGAAGTCCCAAAACGGCTTAGTTTCAGAAATATCCCAAATTTAAATTCAAAAATGACCGTTAGCTCCGCACCCTCCGCTCATTTGCTCCGCACCCAATATTTCCCACAGGCTCTGTCTGCATAGGGTGGTATTGCTTCAGTTTTTATGTCACCACCAGAAGTGGTGACATATTGTTATAGTTACCAACTTTTTGTGGACTATGTTTGGCATTAGGTATTTGGCAATTGGTGTTTGGTGGTTGGTGTTCGGCATCTGTAACAAATGTCAGACTTTGCATGCTAATGCCCTGCACTAGTTTTGCATCCAATGTCTGTCCCTTCATCTCCATTTATCAATACAAGTTGAGCTATTAGAGAAAGACAGCCCTCCCTATCTTAACATAACACTAAAGCCTAGCCATTTATTGGGTTCCGATGCACTGGACTGGTATATCAACCTGTCCATTCTATATATATGACTGTTCCAATTAAGATTATGGATAAGCAGTAATTAAGAGTGCGCAATACAGGTGTTGCTTATCAAGCCTATTGGCAGGTTCCCTTGAATATAATAAAACTTCTCTGTAGCAAAGTGCATATTTCTATCTATTTCTCTCAAAAATTTGGATGAAATGTCTCAATTTTTGGTGTTTTTATAAAATTTAGAGTATTGACTACATGCTTGTTTACTTTACTCCTTGCTGATTCCACTCTTTTTCACTGTATTTTCTATTTTAAAACATGACTGTAACAACATGGTTATGTTTTTATGGAAATGATTGATGTCATGAAAATGTATTCTTTATTCATTGTTTATTCTCGATTTTCGAAAAAATGCAAGAAATACAGACGATACATTGCAAAAATTGTTTTAAAAATAGATGACTGCTGTAAACTTGTTACTCTGTCTTAATAGGTAAAGAGTCTTATCTAACTCCCAGCAGATACTTATTACAATCAAGAAACATGCCCAGGAGTTGCACGCTGCATTACTTTTGTCCTTACTATTTCATTAAACCAAGATTGGTGGTATTAATCCGTTTCTGTAGTTTTACGATCTGCACTCACTCATTGGAGTTTAATTTTCTTGAAAATTCATGATATTTTGTTATGAGGAATTAGATATGAAAACAATATAAAGCCTCAACTGTACCTCAATCTAATGCAATGAAATGTACATTGATATACATGTGCATAGAAACTGTTAAGTGGAACACTTCTCCAATTGGAATGCCTCACAAGTGGAACTGAATTTTAAAAGTCCTGCAGCCCCATTGACTCCATATCAATGAACCAGTGTAAGTGGAACACCTCGCAAGTCGCGAGCGATTGTGAAACACTTTTTACTGTCGTTCCACTTATAATACACAGATTATACTGTATCTCAGTTGAAAGAACTCATTGAAATCTGATACCTTAATTCCAGTACTCTGTTTAACTCTGTTTAACTACATCCTGTTTCTCAACATATATTTTTCTTCCTTCTCTCGTATTCTTTCTTAATTGATCACCAACGGAGTCCATGTCATTCATTACATTTTCTAATTGAATTATTTCCCCGGAAATTGCTAGTTAGCTGACACATGTACTTCAAATTGCTTTATCAACAAATGAAATTCTATTATGTTTTGACCAGTCATAGACATTCCTCAGGTAGTCCACTAATCGTATGGTTGCTACCCGTATTATTGATCATTTACAGAATCCATGTCATTTATTACCTTTTCTAATTGAATTGTTTCTAAAGAAATTGCTAGTTAGCTACATGTACTTTAAGGACAACTGAAATAGGTTTTCTCAACTTGAGCTACAAAAATGCTGTTTTCTTCATTGTAAGCCCAACATACATGTAGAGTTCATTCGATAGACATTATGAAAGAAATGTTAGATAACTGTTAATGGTCATGAATAACGTAATGAAATTAACTGATCAATCAGATTGGCCCCCACGTGATTAGTAACGTCATACATGATATATAGTTTTGGTTTTATTGGTTCTTTGGTAATCACGATGTCACAGCAACCATATGATTGTTGTTTAAACAAATAACAAAACATCTTGGCATTATGACGTCACGATTTAATGGACCAAAACGGGCAATGTGGGGACCAGTGAGAGATCATGTGGGGGCCACTAACGTCACAACCAATTCGAATATTACTTATTAAGCAGCTAATAACAATCGTTAGAGTGAAATAATTTTCTCCATTCTGATGAGAAAACATGTCCAATACATTTATCAAAAGCTTCACCTGATTCCTTTAGGTCAACAATACCATTTCATATCTGCTTTAATATATGTCAATTGCATTAACAATTAATGAAATACTACCTAATAAGATGTTTTGGCCAATTTGGACACTTCAATTTAACACTGTGTTTCAAAAAGAACATTATACAGTAAATGTAGTTGGATAATCGCAGAATTGTGTGCCCAAATCTCACTGGAATGGACTGTCTTCACATCAGCCCTTAGCAAAGGATTTAAAAGTTTATCTAATAAATAACCATCCAAAAAACTGTATGGACTATCTAGTGTCATTTTCTGAGGCTTGATAGTCCATTGATTTATTCCTTAATCAATCAATCTAGCAATTCATGCATTGTATTTTGTACTCAATAAGTTGAATAAAGTTTGAACATCTCTTTTTTCCTTTTATTCCCAGGGTAAGTTCCTCAGTATTTGAGGAACAAAAATATGTGCTAGTAATTACTATAATGACAAAGCTAATGGAGTCGAGTAATCAAATATTTATAACTAATACAGGATATGACTAGTTTGTTCAATATAGATAGAATGATCATTGCATGTTTGTACCTAATCATGCATGCTTTGGAAATACTAACACTGATTTGAGTTTTGAGCCCCCAGACAACCTTTTGTTCTGAGGTGCTTGGATACGTTCGGTGTCATGCATTTACTAGGGGAGAAATTTCTAGTCTATCTACAAGTCCTTGCAAACATTTGTGAGAAGGTGTTTAGTCAAGGGCACAGTACCTAGGAGGGCACAGAGACTCTGAGCTAGACTAAGAAATTTCTTTTTAGCTTTGACGATGGTACAAGTCACAGAGACTCGGAGCTAGACTAAGAAATTTCTTTCTAGCTTTGACGATGGTACAAGTCACAGAGACTCCGAGCTAGACTAAGAAATTTCTTTCTAGCTTTGACGATGGTACAAGTCAAGAAGTTAAAATAAACTGTGAAACAGCTAATTACCAATAATTGAGGAAAACATTTTACAAGAGCGAACCTTCAATCTCTCAGATAAATAGAAATTAAATTAAATGTCAAGTATAATCCTTATATATTTGTTTAGGAATACAAAAGCTGAGTTACAGTACATGGAGTATTCATACAGTAAGAGATATTAGGGACTAAAATGTCGTAGTCACAAAAATCTTTCTTTGATATCAGAGCTAAACATGGATTTGTCTTTGCCATATAAACACTTTTTGTAAAGGTGTCCATAGATTGTGTGTTTTGTTAATGTGTTCATTAATTATTGAAGTGTTTTTATTCATTGTCATAACTCATTAGCATTCTGTGTTTTTATAACATAACATCTTTACTCATGTCATCTTTAAAGTTCTGATATTCCAGTTTGTTTATTTTATCATTGTTTGCTACGGTAATAGCATCCAAGGGTGGTGTATTATGGCGCACAGTAGCTGCCATCGATATAGACATACGCTTTTTCTGTTTATTATCCCTGTTACAACAGCAATGTAGTATGCGACAATATGAGCGTCGTAGCTCTGTGTTCATGATCGCATATACAAATGGATTCAAACAGCTACTGAGCCACAACATGGCACCACCAATCATCCTTAACGCAGGGATCTTAATGGCGGATCCCCCAGCAAGATGACTTATTGTCTGCGGGGCGTAACATATGACAAATATACAGAAGATGATCACCATCATCTTCGTAAGTTTCATCTCCTGTTGCTTGTAATGTTTCACTGCTGTACTGGTCACAGTTGGTTGATGCATTCCACGCTGGCCATACAGCCGTTGTTTACTACGACGCACAATCACAAAGATCTGAAGGTAGCATCCAATGATGCACGTCATTGTTGAGAGGAAGATGAATGCAAAAAAGAACTTATTGAATGAGAATCCAGGTTCACGAATCATGACACAGAGCCCTATGGAGGGGTCGTAATCGAATCTTCCCCAAGTGTTTGTAAGTGGGAGCAGGAGCAGTAGTGGGCAGAATGACCAAGCTGCTACAAGCATGATCTTGATATGTTTCTTTGTGAATACACTGGTGTGTGATTGAGGATAAACTGTAGTGATGTTCCGGTCAACAGCAATTAAGAGCAAGGCCATAATTGTCGCACCCCCATTGCAATAGAATAAGTATAGCGATATGCGACAGACCATAAGGTTAGTTTGGATCCACCCTGTGGCAAAGTGACTTATGTTGAACAATGGTATACTCACTGTACACAAGAGGACATCACTGGCACATAAGTTCATGATGAATATTGTGTGTATGTTTCGCAGCTTGGGCGTTGTTGCTATGGCGATAATGGTAATTATATTACCAATTGATCCAATGACTGCTATTGGTATGGTAATAGCAAGGCTTATAATCATCACTTGCTGGTGACGGTCTCTTGGCTCTATGAATGAATCGTTAAACGATAAGTTTTGTGTTGTCATAACAACTGCTGCATTGTTGTTATTGAGATGTAAGTTATTAGTTTCCATGGTGATAATAGAGGTGTAGAATATCGTATCTGTTTTTATGGATTAAATCACTTCATTCCTTGACAGAATCTAGTTTAAAAAATATTCTTTTCCATTTTTACAAATTTTGTCACCATATACTCATGCAGTGTTTATTCACTATAATAACTCGATTATCTCCAAGTGCTTTATATATTCTACTGTTTCCTGTCACCCCTTGTGAACTTTGATTGGCGTTTCCAGTTAAAGTGTTTTACTTGGACCACACCTGTGCTAGATGTCTTGAAGACATAATATCTGCAGGTATCGGGGCCTGGTATAAAATGTTACCTAGATTCTTGGAATCTCCTATGCAAGGTAGGCGTGGTGCCAATATCTAGTTACAGTACATTATTCCATCTAAGGCCTTGACATGATATATATTTTATAACATACTTTTTTACTCTGACACCTGTCAGCTGTTATTGTGGTCTCAGAGTTAGGAGGTTATAAGGCTTTTCACAAAATGTTTCCCTAGATTACTGGAATCATCTCTCACCGGGGTTGATGTATCAATAAGTGCGGGTCATAGTGTATCGTTACCGCTAAGTCCTTGATACCTTGACACAATATTTTTAGTAATATCCTTTTTTACTCTGACACTTGTCCTGTTGAGGTTATTGTTGTCTTGTAGAGTCATTAGTTCATTTGGAGATAATGCCTTTCACAAAATGATTCCTGTATTCGTGGAATCATCTCTCCCCAGGGTTGATGTATCAATAAGTGCGGGTCATAGTGTATCATTAACCCTAAGTCCTTGATACCTTGACACAATATTTTTTAGTAATATCCTTTTTTACTCTGACACCAGTCCTGTTGAGGTTATTGTTGTCTTGTAGAGTCATTAGTTCATTTGGTGATAATACCTTTCACAAAATGTTTCCTGTATTCATGGAATTTTTTCCCTGAGGTTGCTGTATCAACGACTGCCGTATATATTGGTTTCAGTTGCTTGCTGAAAGATAAGTGAACATCTCTGATTACATCATTATTTACCCTCTCTCCCTCCACTTGCTTACACTAGCCTCTTACTACTGCAAATGATTTATAAATGTGGTATTAATATATCTTAATGGTCTCAAATGAGGCTTTATAGGATTAAACAAGAGTTTTTATGGGAGATAAGTCTTATGTCAGCTTCTTATAGCAAGAAATGAAGATTTCTGATGATATATTTCTGATATGTATCGACTAGATCAAATAATTTCAAATCTGAAGAGGGTAGATAAGATTGGCCTTTTGGTAAGGGTAATCACTATTAGATCAGACCAAGTTATTTAATGTAATTACCTATGGGTCAGATTTCACTATGGTCTTGTTTTAAAATGCAAAATAGAGTGAAAAAGAGTGGAAATAGTCCAGTGTTTTAACAACAGGTGACCAATAATCTCAAGATTATCCAGATATGCCATGAAAATTGGCATATCATTTATATTTTGCAGAGAAAATGTGTGGAGCTACCATGACTGGAAATGTATAGGGTTCCCCTTAGGTAACACTGTATGATAACATCATTACTTGAAGTCAGTACTTTATTATTACTTTATCTCAACTGTATTATGGCTGTTACTGATAATTGTGTCTATGAGGGAGATTTTTCCAATACAAAACATGATACTGTTATATGTTAGCTACTCTTCAATAGTTTCATTTTGCATCTTTGAAAGAGGACTTCTTCTACGATAAATAATGTACTGGTAAGACATGTGATATCTCAGGGTATTATATTGGCCTGTCAGACACTTTTTTCAAAGAGGGCTCAGTTTTCACCATGTTAATCAAGATGGGGGGGAGTGTATACTGTGTAGTTTTTCAAAATGTATAATATTTTTTTCATTTTAAATTTGAATTTTTCAATAAATATAAATGATTTTCTTCCATTTTTTCATATTTAAATACCGTATTCTCTGTATCTAGCACCAGGGGGACTTAAAAAATTGAAAAGTATAATACATCCTTCAGACCATTCTAATAAGCGCCCATATATGAAAGAAGTCAAAAGTCCCTGGGAATTTCATCCATGGGAATTTTTCCTGCCAAGAATGCCTTATTTGCAACATCACTACGAAGTTACAGCATATTTTTACAATAAAGATATGTATTGTTATTGGAGAGATTATGGTAAAGATCGCTAAAATAAAGCACTGATCTTGCAAGAATTGAACTAGATAATGTTGAAGGTGATTGAAGGAATCCCCAAGAGAATCCCTTGAATTGAAGGAACTTTTGTTTTCCCCCCATTGTCTCCCATATTTCCACGAGAGACTTTTGGTATCGATCTAAATTCAAACCTTATCTTTTTAATTTGATCATCATTTTTCATGTGAAAGTTGTATTACAAATGTTAAAAAGAAACGAGAAATGTGACGATCTTTTGATGTGTGCAGAAATCCTGCGTAGAAGCTGTCTTGGTAAAATGCTGATCAAAATTCTTAAACATGAACATTTCCTTCATTCATTATGGACTATTTTGAGATAACATTAGTTTAGTATGATGTTGGAAGCACCCAATGATAGATATTTATTGGCAGGATGCATCGAAATTACAAAATGCATTACGTTTACAGCAGATTTGTATCAGTACTCTATTATCGCCCACTCAAGTTTTATTTTTTCTGATATATTCATTAGTACTTGGTCATTTGTGAAGTGCGTTTATTTTTTGACGGAAGTATTGTGAAACCCATTTTTAAAAGGCCCATGTGCAGTATAGCAAGTGATTTTAGACAGTCATATCTTTCACTATGAGTACTTTCTGGCCATAAATACAGCGTTTTTTATTAAAACAATATGTTTTCTCTCAAGTGAAGTCCCCATGATAATATCAATATAATATCAATCCAACTCTCTGGAAAATTATGGATTAGGGCCCCACCTTGCCCCTTTTTATTTTAAAAAATGTTAGGCTAATTTTCTCAAAAGAGGATTTTGTTTTTCTCAATTTAAACATATCAAAAGTCTCCTCTACATTATACTGTATTAGCAATTTCTGAAAAGGGGATTGGTATTGAAATGCGTTAAAGTTAAAAACTACATATTCCCATGTTATTTTCCCATAGGGAAAACTCGTGCTATCCATTTTGTTTAGCATAACTTTGGTCATCGAAAATTGATATCTTCAAAACAAGACTTTCAATACCTTTCTATTTTTGAAGATGTTTTAGACCCCTTGTTGAATAATCATTTCATGTAATAAAACTCAGAAAAGGAGATCCTCTTTTGAGTAAATAGGTTCAATATTTTAAAAAAAATGTTGACATGGGGTCTCTATTTATAATTTTTTGAATTGTTAGATTGATATTTTTATCATCATGGGTACTTCACTTGAAAGAAAACATATTATTTTAATAAAAAAAACTATGTATTTATGCCCAAAAGGTACTCATTGTGAAAGATATAACTGTCTAAAATCACTTGCCATACTGCACATGGTCTTTTTAATAATTTCAAAAAATTACATTATATTGAAAATCATCTTGCTTAAGATAAAAATTAAAGTTAATATAAATTATTATCAATTAATTTTTGTCTAGACCATACTTAATGTATATATTTCATGCCATAGAACATATTCAGCTTTATTTTCTGTTTGCTAATGGCCTTAATGGGGTCCAATTGCTCATATCAAAACAATACATATTGCTGGTTAATGCACTCAAGCATCAAAAACGCATGATGAATACCTGATACCATGCACTTCTCTTGACTACTTGACTTGTCATTTTTAGCTGCATATACTGTTAATTATGTTCTTTGTCACATCTATTAATGATGTGTTGGCACACTTAAATCCTTTTATTCATGATATAAATATATATGTAAATTGTACTATCTGAGCATTACATTTTACTTTAGAGGCTTATTCTCTAACCAAAATATCTGAAAATAAATGTTTACCTTGAAATTCTAGTTCGATAACACAAGGTTTCATTAGAAGCTGTCAACAACCCATTTTCTCCAGGTGCTCTAACAAAAATCAACTGTAGTTTTGAGAATGTTTCAATATTAGATATGTATTTCTAATAATTCTGCCTGATGTTTTCATGCATTGTGCCTGTTGTAAAAAAATCCTATTTGAAACCCTTGAATAATGAAATAAATGAAACCTTAATATACGAGTATAAACTAAATATATACATGCAATTACCAGTCTGTCCTCATTGATTCAATTCTTTTAGGTGCAACTGTAATGTTTGCTTTGCTATTGTTACATACCTTGATTTGCAATTAGCAGATGATAATTCCTGCACTTGACTGTACTGTTTCTCTGCTTCTCTGCTCCTGGTAGCAGATATATATATCTCCCAGCTATAGGTGATGTCATAATCTGTTTGTTCGGCTTGTCTCGTGGGTATAGTGAAGGCAGATTAGTGTAATCACTGATACCAAATGCAGTAAACGGAATTCATAGCCCTCTGGAGGGAATATATAGCCCTCTGATGTGATTATAGCCCTCTGTAAAAAAGATAGAAAACAGAATTTATAATTCTAGCTAATCTGAAAAAGGAAAATTTGACTTCCCAGATGGATAGGAGCATAAGTCACATGGTTACAGATTGACCAATGAGAGAATAATGTATTATTCTTATGTTTATAACATGAAGTCAGACCTATACTTTCATCAAATTGATTCTATTGTTTATTAATTTGAACATCTTCAGTATAAAACAGAAATAATCCTAAATATTGATTCTATTGATTTTAACTTAGAGGAAGGTTAAACTTGAAAGCACATTACCTTATCAGTGATTGACAATAGAGTTATGAAAATGCAATCTCTTTCATGAACATACAATCCATATAAACCCACTGAGTTTAAACTGATCAATATCTTGAAATCCTAATCGGAAATATGACAACTGGGTGAATGAAAAAATAAAACAACGAGCAAGCTGCATTAGGATGGTTGGAAAATGTGTCATTATTATTCACAAATCAATAGCAGATATACCTGGCAATTGCAAATGTATATCATGACTATCCTGTGCGTGGATTCTAGTTATGAACAGTAGGTTAATCCGGCAGCCGACAGTCGTTAGTTGCATTCGCGAATACAAGTTAAGTCAGTCAGTAAGTCCCATTCAGTCTAATCCAGTCCAGTCCATTTACTCGGTAACTGTATGTGTATTTAGTTTTAGAGAAAAGCTTGTTTTAGTACAATTACCCATTTTTCCATGTTTAGAATTGAATTCAGCCTTGCATCAATCATTATAGAGGTCATTTAGAGCATGCCATCTGAAATGTTTAATTTCTCAGTTGGTAATTGGGGAAAATCTTTGAATTTTTAGCAGCTAATTGAAAGATAGATTCTCTTTATCATCTGCAAAGTTCAGCTTTTCAATGAAAGAAAAAAGAGTCATTCCCATTTCATTTGGGTACAATTCTTTTGGGACATCCGGTATATAAGGAGATTATGGTTTTCTAGGAAATCATAGAATATCTGTCAAGAGACTGAATAGAAATCTTTTAAAGCAATACTTGAAATCAAAGAAGCTATTGGGATTCCCATAAGTGTATTCAAAGCAATGAGCTGGATCTCTTAAATAAAGATAAACAAGTCATGCATTAACTGCTTCTGAGAACTGCTACAACTGACAAATATATTTACAGGTCATATTGCCTCGTGATCCCAAGATTTGAAAAGCAAAACAATTGTTTATCTATGCTACAATGTATGTTTGTTTCCACTTTTAAGATTTACGGAAACTGTAGTTTGCGATAATGCTTTGTAGCTGTTATTTGATTGGCTGTCATGATGTTGTTGACGTATTAGTTTTCACGATACAATGGATAGGCGAAACCTTTCAATGGGTGTATAATTCACGAAAACACTTTACTTTGACATTTTAATGCTTCTTAATAACTAGTTACTGTATATGCTAAATTTGAGTATTTATTTTGTGAAAAATAATAATTGCATAGGGGAAATTGGGATGATAGCTCAGAGATTGGGAAAGGTCCCAAAAGAGTAATCAGATTTAAATATACTGTTTGACAGTTTAAGTACAAAGTATATTTCTCTCTATTTTTATCAGAAACATAATGCTTTCATCTAAAAAAGATTGAGTTGGGATTAGTATTTCTAGATCCCTAATTAATAATACAATAGTTGATGGATTTATAATAATCGTGTCATATAATGGATATTATGCTTTATTAATTTTAATGAAATATGTTGCTGGGTTTGGCATACAGCATGCAGTGTTCACAATTAAGGTAGCTTTATTCATATTGAGATCTTATTTTACTATAATGTGACATTCTGCCCACCTTAAGGCCTTCCATGTGTCAAGCACCTTTAAGTAACTTTAAACCTGGTGGCCATTTTGAATTTTGGTTTATCGTAAGATAATCATAATTGTGTGATTATGAAGAATTAAAGGACCCAGGTGGTCGTAAGCCATTAATGCTGTTGTTAATCTTTACAAATGACCTTCTAGCTAGTATTCTGAGAATTTTGTATTGCCATATAACATTTGCAAAATGTACTTTTCTGGTATGCCTCCTTTATTAACATTTTTGCCTCACTGTTGAAATTGGCATCAGACATTTGCCCCAAAACAATAATTTGCCTCGAAACAATAAATTGCTCTAAAACAATAAATTGCCTCAAAACAATAATTTGCCTCAAAATAATAATTTACCTCAAAATAATAAATTGCCCCAAAATAATGAATTTCCTTCAAAACAATAAATTGCCTCAACATATTCTTTTGCCTTTTGATGGATTGCTTTAACTCCATACTGTTGTACTTGACTCAGAAGTTCTAAAATGTGCATCAATGTTGTATTTGCCTCATGGAAGAATTGTTGTCATGTTGATCTGAGTTAAACACCAGGTGCCAAAACTGGTAAACTACAAGTGGACATATACTTAACCATACTCCAAACGCATGATTCTTAATGATTTAAAATATCATGTAACCACATGTAGATTCTGTTTTCAAAGTTGTCTTTTTGTGTTTTTCAGGAAGACCTTCTTGCCCTCCGTGTGACTAATGCCCTTCACCACGTCAGCATCAAAAGGGCAATACAAGTGTTAAGGCTCAATAATTTCAACCCAGCTTGTTTAAAGCGACGCCCCAGTCCAGATGAGGTAAGTTATGTTACATTTAATTATTTCTCATCATTTATATTATATTTGCACAACTTTGGATACATACAGTCTTACCACCTTCCATCTTGAAATCTTACATTCAAAGCAATGTAGAAATAAAAATAACATTATCAATATTTGAAATTAGTATTTGATTTATTTGTCTGTGACTGGTATATCCAATTTAGATGTGTATATGTACTTATTGGGGTCATTTAGAGTGCATTCCTGCTTTATTGGCAGTGGGAGAAATTATGCAACATTACCTATTGTTGATATATGTAGAATCATTTTCTTTCTCTTAATTCCTGATATGAGCATCATCCTAACGCAGGGTTCCAGACATCATCCACTAAGTTCCTTCTTTCTTCCATCCATTTGGGAGAAGAACATAGGATTTTGGAGGCCTGTGTTAGGAGGATGTGATATGAGCGGCAGTATGAAATTGCTCATCTCTTAAATTCTTGAATGCATTACAATAATCAATTTTGAATCTTGAGAGCAGTGGGAATAGCAATTTGTATAATTGAATTGTCTTCCAAGACTACCATCATAGTATGTACTGTGAAATAATTGAATATTGTGAATCATGGGCTGCGATATTGACTCTAATCTTGAAAAATCTTGGCAATTAGTTGAATTTGTTTGTTTTTTACTTAAATGTGTAATTGAAATAAATTGATTGCAGAAAACCTATTACATGCTTAGAAAAAAGGTCCCATGTCCTAGATCCATTTCTTGTCAATTCAAACAAAATGAATAGGGTGGGCCTTCAATGAAGTCATAGTTAGTATCATGCGGTCATAGTGTCATGGGGTCATAGTAGTCTCAAGAGGTTGTAATAATAGACTCTGCTTAATCCAGTTTACTACCCTTTTCTTGTGCTCAGCAACCTCTGTACTGAACTCTTTGATTAAAGACTATTCCTTTTTACCACACTTGTTATATTGTTATCGACTTGTGCTGCTAAGCAGCCAGGCAGGTGTGTTGACAGGTCCCAACATGAATAAATTTTGTCATCAAAACAGGAAAACTGCCCAGCCATTCAATTTGAAATTTTATGGATGCCAGAGCAGAATACTGCCAATATATGTATAGGTTTTGGGCATCCTGGGTAAATTGCATGTCATCCATTTTGGCCTTCAAAGTGCAATATCTATCACTGTGTGTCTTGTTCTAGCCTATATCTTAAAAGAATATATTCTGCCTTTGAGCTTACATCGATGTAATGTTAAAACCTCCATGTTTAATTAAACTAGAGGGTAGTATTGTGAGAGGATAGTATTGTGAGAGTGTAGTATTGTGAGAGGATAGTATTGTGAGCAGATAGTATTGTGACAGTGTATTATTGTTAGAGTGTAGTATTGTTAGAGTGTAGTATTGTGAGACCTATATAGTATTGTGAGAGGGTAGTATTGTGGAAGGGTTAACTGTTGAGTCTAGTTAACCAAATTAGGGAAGGAAAAACATGAAAAAACTTTTTTCCTGGGGGGGGTTTAGATTTATTAGATTACAAGAATACAATAGGGAAAAGTGTTTTTTTAAAGGGCTCTTAAGCAAAACAAGTCAATTCAGTCTTCTAATTGAGTCGTCCTATGGGATGATGGTGATGTGCTTTCTGGTTTAATTGTCATGATAGATGCCAAATATAGGAATGTCCTTAAATACAGCGTGAGATGAAATGCAACCCTTTTGATTGTGGAAAATGTTATTTTTTCCTTTATAGGAAAGTCATTAAAGGAACAAGTTATGTGTATAAGTATGATTATGCCATTGTTGTATTGAACACTTAATCTACACATTCAAGATTAATCAGGAAAGTTTTATCATTTTCAAGTCACCCCTGTATTTCACTTGCGATGACTTAACCACAAATCGTTCACTTCCAAGAAGTAGTAACATATTGTTACAGCCACCAATTTTGTGATTTGCATTCAATAATCCTGTTTAAATCTGTAACAATTGTTACACTTTTGTATCCATTTGCAACAACTAACCAAATGTTGACATTTTGTCATTTCTATGTAAGTTATAATTTTGAGTACATGCCTGTTTACGTTAATTTCTCATTAAATTCCTTTTGATCCCTCCATTTCACAGTTTAAACTACATCTTATTACCAATTGCTTGTGTGTTTCAGAGCAACCTAGAAAATAAGCCATATGAGGTTATGTTGTGGACCAATCACCGTGTGATGGAGTGGCTAAGGAGCATAGATCTCTCAGAGTATGCACCTAACATGAGGGGAAGTGGAGTTCACGGGGCACTCATGGTATGTAGCTCTGTGACACATGGTTTCTATACTTATTTCATGTCATTTTTTCTTTGAATGAACCATTATATCTGTATAAGTATTAATAACATTTTCAGAACTTTGAAAAACTACTTGTAATTTTAAATTGGTGTAGGTAACTTGTGACAAATGATACACTCATCTTGCTTTCAGATTGATACATTTTTTTAACTGTTTTATAATCATTAGTGAGTATCTTCATAAAACAGCAAGAAAAAGGGAAAGATGCAAATTGTATTTAATCAACTCTTTAGCTCAATATAGAACTGACTCGTCTATTCCAGGTACTTGAGCCACGATTCAGCAGTGAAATCTTGGGATCAATTTTGTCAATCCCAAATTCAAAAACTTTACTGAGGCGCCATCTGCATACTCATTTTGTGTCACTGATAAGTAACGATGTCCAGCAGAAGAAACGAGAGTGTGAGACTCAGCCAGGATTCCTCCCATTGGCTCCCAACTCAAAGGTCAAGGTCAGTATCATTGCAGGAGGTTATATTGTAATAATCTTGTTCTGATTGGAGCATTGATCAAATTGACCTTCTTTCTGATTGGTTGTTACATCAGCAATGGTCATGACCTTGTTGCTGATTGGAAGATATATGTGCTTGGCTATGATGGCCTTGCTTTTCATTGGAGAGATTTGGGCCTAGGTCATGACCTTGCTGCTGATTGGCCATTGATTAGTGGGTATCGATTCGAGCATTTGGTAATAATATGTACATGTAGTGCTAATGGATATTGTAATGGATGGATGACTAGATATTATTGTTAGGTAGATTATTAAAGACTTATTCATTTATTTATTTTTGTTTTATTGGTGTTTAATTATTTATTTATTTGGTAGATATAGCTTTTGTGTGAAAACTCTATTGTGACTTTTTATATTTCTTCTTGATTTTTTTGTCTTTCCTATTTCTTAGCTTAGATTGATCTTGATATTGTGCACATAAAAAACTTGTGACATTTTAGAGTCGAGAAACAACTCCAATGTGTTTCCCTTCCCCGTCTCCGAAGAAAAAGGTACATGATATGGACAATAGAGGGAGCCTGCAGTTCTAAGATGCTTTTTCATGATGGAAAAAATTGTTCAATAAAAGATGGACTCATCGAAAATAACAATCTTTTCCATGAATTTCTGATCCAATCTGAGCGGTGAAATATTCAAGAAATCAAAAAATCTAGCCAAATGCAACCTAATAATTGAAAAATTTGGAAAGAATGTTCTCAATTTCACCTGTCATTTTGGATATTTTGATTTTTCTAGCTTTAACTTTCACTTTTGGTTTGGGATGATAGCTTTTTTATTGGCAACAACAAGCAGATGTTCAACCACCAGAAGTGCCCTTCATGTACATGTATAGTATTTACACATACACTCAACATGTATATAAATTACTTTGGGCTTTCTAGAGACATTTATTTGGTTCAACAAATCAGAAAGTTTTATGTTATGTAGAAAGAGAACACTTGGATGCATAGATAATGAACTTATATTTATTTGTGCTATGTGATGTCTTGTATTTCTGCTCAGTCTTTGATAAGACACTCAGGGGTCTGTTTGTTAAATGCATGGGTCACAAATATTGTGAAGACATGTCACTAGACCACCTTCGGTAAACAGGCCCCATAGAATATTTGTAATAATAGTTGTAAGACTAATGAATGCTAAACAATAGATATAGTTATTACTTTTAATTGTATGACTTTACATGCATGTTATGTAACAAAGGTTGTAGCTTTAGATGTCTATTATAGAGTTAGTGCTAGTACGGAATAATCTCTCTTGAAAGTCTTTTGTAAATATTAATTGAATTCCATTGAATGCAACTCAGGATGGCGAATATATATGGGGAATATATAATGGGACAACTCATAATGGAAAACAGATAATGGGACAAAGGTCAAGTCATAATTGGATCACATAATTGGATCACATAATTTGTAGAGTCATAGTGGTGCAACATATAATGGGACAACTCATAATATGGGATAAGTCATAATGGGAAAATTGATAATGGGATAACATATATTGGGATAAGTCATAATGGGATAACATATAATGGGATAAGTCATAATGGGATAACATGTAATAGGATAAGTCATAGTAGGATATTGATAATGGGACAATACATAATGGGAAAATTTTGAATGCTACAAATCATATGGTATACTCTTGGAAATTTTGTGTTTGGGCCAACACAAAATGTTTATTGCTCAGTATAAAATGTATCAAGTGAATCATCAACTAATTATTTCACTAACAACAAAATTTGTGTTTGGTGTAAATATCAGTTTGAAAAGTATATTAATGTAAATCCTTATCTGTTTAAAAAGCAATACAAAAAACCTACTGGTTATGTTAGACTTGTTAGTACAGTTGATTCTCCAAAGCAATTCTTCATTGTTGAATTTAGTTTGTAAGACTAATTTACCAGGAATTTTTATTGATATGAAGCGTTTATCTCTTAAATATCTACTTCAACTTATGTCTACATTTTATAATAATTTCATATTTACAGGCTCCAAAGAAGCGTGGAATATTTAGCCACAAACGCAGCAAATCACAAAGTGAGACTGACTTCGACGATTATCTCTGCCCAATGATTCATGGGACTCTGAATCGTGGGGGGCCAATGACACAGCCCCCACAATACCAGATGGAAATAAGAGGGACAGATATGGTGATGACCCTACATCAGAAACAGGTATTTTCTTGAAGTGTTATTTTATCTTACTTTCATTTTATTTTTTTATTTTATATTAATAGATATTTAGCTACCATCTATAGATAACATTAAATGAGGCATTTGTGTCATGTATTCACAATTTAAGGGTCCACATAGGGAATGTTTATCATATCCCAATTTTGAATGGATTTTGTCTTAAAATCAGTAAGATTGATGCGGATTAATGACTAAATCAAAAGTGGGGACATTATTAGTGTAAGCAATAGACATTTACTTAACAGAATTTTAAGGAGACTTCTTCGTTTTCAATTTCTTACTCATATCTTGAGATAATATTTTCATACAGTAGTCTGATTAGTTTACAGCTGGTAATTATATTCCACCAATCAGAAAACAGATTATACCATGTATAAAGTATGTCTTTCAAGTAAATTATTTTATTGCAGAAGGATGAAAAAGTTGCGAAAGAAGTTGGTGCATTTTCCCATGAAATGAACACATTGACCGTAAGTTCAATATTAATATGTAATGTCTATAATATTGGTGGTATTAAAATGGGCAAAACTGTGTGATGCTCTAGTGGTATGGTGTGACCATGTCACACACCAGAGATACCAACAGTGGCATATGTTCTACTTAAGTTTATTATTTTGAAAAAAAGTTTATGACTTGATTGCTAAATTGTCTTAAATTTGTTCTTTATTTCAAAAGTAAATTAGGAAAAATATTGAAGCATTTAATGTTCATATATATTGTGTCATTTTGTTTTGTTCCTTTCAAGCACTTATTATTTCTTGTATATGTAAATCATTTTAGATGTGGTCATCCATATAGGTGTATTGGCCACGAACATACTATAAATGTTATAATTCATTGTTTTGATAACCTATTACCATGGTGAATGAAATTGCAAGTGTGCCCAATCACAATTGTTCAAACCTTTTCTTTCAGAATATGCTGGCGAAGGATCAATTTTTCGATGATGTTCCCACTTCTAATGTATAGTTACGACCAGGCATGACATCTATTGAAGGACTACAATATTAAAAAGACTTCCACAAAGTACTGTAGCTATAATGAAGCATGGGAGAAGCATCTGCTTCATTGGAAATGGAGTGTCTTCATAGGGAACAAGTTTCAGCTTCACGGGTGACTTTGATACTTCATATAAGCCTCGTAAATTAGCAGTATATGAGGTATGGACACCTCAGGTGTAGACATACCAGTAAACATTGCGAGTTTGGTTTCTACCAAGGCAAACAGTCATATTAGGATATTGAGGGTCTCATCAATTTTTATGGATGGACAGACCAATGTTGTGTATGATAGACACACCAGAACATCGATGGACACATCAGCATGTGTCATTCAACATTGGTGTGTCTTCTTGAATCACTGAGCATCTTATACATTAGAGTTAGCGTAACCAGGCAGGTGTTGCATTAGCGATGGTACTTAAGACAATGTCCAGTGAATTCAATGTGCACCAGTATATACAGGATTACTGGTCCTTATTTATACTTTGACCAGTAGATCTGAGATCCTTTGCATCCTGGATCTACATCTGCTCCATCATTTATGTTATATATTAAATAATATCCTTGAAATGTGAGCTTTAAAGATATGTACATCTGTGCTTTGTGCTTGGGGATAGCAGTGCTGTGTACATGACTAAGCTCAGACAGTTTTAACAACTGAGAGTCGAATGTTGAGTTTATATAAATGCCTAATAAGGCTGGCTTGGTTCTGGCATTGTGGTTGGATGTTAAGGTTGACACTTAATCAATATGAATCAATTGTAAAAATATACATTATTCATGTCATTCATGATATTCTTGCATCAAGTTCTTGTTTCATCTCCCTCAGCAATTCCCCTTTCTGTAACCACTTTTTTTGTAACACCCCTCCATTACCTCCTTTTTGAAACTTCTCTCTAACCTCTTTTTCTGTTACTCCCCTCTGTAACATTTCTTTCTGTAGCCCCCTTTCTGTAGATCTCCCCCGTAACCCTCTTTTCTGTAACCCCCTTTCTGTAATTCCCCTCTGTAACATCATTTTTTTTACTCCCTGCAACCCTCTTTTCTGTAAATTTCATTCTGAACCACTTTTCTGTAACACTCCTTTGTAAACCTGTAATCTTCTTTGTGATGCAAGGAAATTGTGTGGAGATGAAGCGTCATGACATCGTAGTTATAGTAGGTCACACATAAGACATGTACATGTATTTATTATGGAAATGTGAAATGAAAACATTTGAAGCATTATAGAGGAATAGCTGCTGATTTGCAACATCACCGTGATTGTGGCATGAATATATATCATGGAAGTGTCTTTTATTTATTTATTTCAAACAATTGTAATTATAATTTAATGTGGTAAAATGCCAGGTAAATTACATGAGAATTTCGGAAGAGATAGCTGTTACTATGGTAACCATTATAGATGGTGTCATGGAGTAGAATTGCAATTAAATACCTCTAACAGGGCTGTCTTGCCAAATGCCTTTCAGAAGGGACCCTTCATATTTCTCATACTCCTTTTGATATGGGGATTTGTTGGAAATTTCCCTTCTCAAAGGTAAAGTGCTTTCAGAGTGAATTATATTTTCGTAAAGCTTGTTGTAAGGAGTCGCCAATAGAGGTCAGCAGTGGTGCTATTGAAATGTTGGTGTAAATGATAATATTGAAGCAGCTGATTAAAATGTCTAAAACACAAAGTGCCTCTTAGATCAGAATTTTACTATGAGAATGCATGCTATCCATATCCAGGCCTGTAGCCAGGGGGGTGGGGTTCGGGGAGTTCATGCGAACCCTCCTGGCCAAAAATTATTTCAAAATCATGCAGTATTTTACCATTTTGAACACTTCAAGTGATTTTGGCTATTTTTGGGCCAAAGTTGTCAAAAGGGAACCTCCCTAAATTTATTTTTTAAAATCCTGGCTACAGGCCTGCATATCTGTATGCCAATTATTATTGACATGTCTTTGTTATTACTGACATCTCAATGTTATTATTAACATGCAAATGTCATCTCAATGTAATTATTAATATGTCCAAATACCCAATATTCTCTTCAATACAGAAATAAATCGTAAAATCTTTGGCCAGTAATGAAAAAGTTTCGGATGAAAATTATTCAAAGGAGGACATGTTCTCTATTTATTGTAATACATGAATATAATCATCTAGCATATCTTGGAATATCCCCAAACCCTCTCCATTACATCTATGATTTTATCAAATGATCATATGCCTTGTTGTACATAATGATGTGTACATTTTTATTTATGTTATCAAATGTATATGATGTACAATTCTATCTAAGCCTCTAAATATCTGTATCCTGACTTAAAATATATCCACTATATATCCTCTATAATCCAACAATCTTTGTCATCTTTACATTTTAAGCAAAATATAATGTAAAGCCAATGAAATGAAAGGATAAGTCTTTGGATTAAGGAGTTGTATAAATACAACAAATCTTAAAAATTGAAAATGACTCTAATCTGGACCAGAAACTGTACATCATACATATTTGTAATTTTAGTGTGTTAGTGTATTTATAGTCTATAATATTATCACATAACCTCCAGGTATATTTTTATTACCTCACATTCTTCATTTCTCTTATTTTGGGTTATAAAATAGTTTTGGTTGTTCCGATTTAGAGTTTATTTATTGGAAGTTTTCATATTGCATTTGATTTGATTTGTTTTTAAACCGACATGAAAATTACAATTCAGTTTCCCGCTCTCACTTGACACAATTGCATTCACTTCTTAATAAATGTGCAATTTCTGAGGTTTAATCTAACTGATTTTAAATATGTAACATATTTTTACCCAAATAAATATATTTTGAAATAGGTATTTACTGATTTCTGTTCATTATGGATTTATTATATTTATATTTTTGTTTCTCAAATCTTTGCATGATCGCTCAGCAGGAATGCAGTTTATGAAACAACACCTGAGTGGAATAAAATATAATTTACATAATTGTACACCTTGACTTCATTTATTGACTAGATGATTATACATATACTGTACTAGTATGGCTGACAGAATAATGTTGACATGCATAGTGCTTGACTGTACATATTGACATGTGTACTATACTATACTTGACTGTAACATCTAAAATATACAGGACTACACATGGTTCTTGACTAGTACAGAATCTCAAAATGTGAATAAACCTGACACTTCATATTTTACAATTGACATTCTGTTTTTTCACTGAATTGTATTATGATGAATGATGCAAATATAATGGGTTGCAACCAAACCCCTAGTGTTTTATTTAAAAACAGCAAAGGAGTTTTTTTATTGTAACTTCGCTTGAAAAGCAGCAGCGATTCTTGTAACTTCTGAATAGTTTCTTGGTTATAAAAGCATTCCATGATGATGTTTTTTTGTGTTGCATATGACATTGATTATTGGTACTCGGTGCAACTGAATGACTGCAAACTGCACATGTGGACAAGCTACATGTACAGTATATCTCATGTTTTCTGAAAAACTAAATATTGCTTATAACTGCTTTCCAGATTGATTTCCATCTACCTCATGTCAGTCATGAGACATTTCATAAATACTGCAATATTCCATTCTATTTTGCATTTTAGAGACTTTCATATGGATACTTGTTCAATAGCAAGTTGGCAGGGCAACATGTCTATATATATATTGTACAATATATACACGTATATCTATGTACCTATTTAAATATGTGAATCATATTTATATTGCCTACAAGTGAATACTATTACTTTGGTTGGACATTTTCATATGTGTATTTATTGAAATTTGGATTGTCATAGGTTTCCGCCTTGAGGTGAACCCCCAAACTGTGCACCTCCTCTGTGATCCCTAACGACATGTTGTTCACCTTATGTGCCGGACCCCATTCATCTGTGGGAGTCAGAAGTATGGAAATTCTCTGGAAAATACACAAATTAAAAATCAAGGTACATGTTGTTTTGACCTTTTTGACATTTCTTTGAGTACGATTATGATTTTTCATTAATTTGTATTGTATTTGTATATTTATTCAACAACCAATTTGGTGACAAAACTTTCTGTTTTTACATTTTACATTATGCAGAAGAATGGAACATAAAATTACTAAGGACTTTTTCAGCATTATATTGCATTCAAACTCTCACATATCCAGTGATGTCCCATTTTTACAAAATGTTAGGTCCTTACCTGCAGTATAGTCTTATCAGTAGAAGTTGTGCATATTTTGTAGATTGCTACTGTTGGTACAATGAGAACAGGCATTAGAGCCATCAACCAGCCAAGGATATTGGCCCAAGCTGGGTAGACATAATGTCCATAGGTTATAGGACGGTACTGCACCCAATTGAATATCAGCAGAAACTGAAACATTTACAAAATAGTTATAGTCATGTGTGTATTTTTGATATTGGCCCAAGCTGGGTAGACATAATGTCCATAGGTTATAGGACGTAGCTAGTGTGTATTTTGGATATTGGCCCATGCTGGGTAGATATAATGTCCATAGGTTATAGGACAGCACCGCACCCAATTGTAAAAAGTAATGAACCAGATTACTTATTCTATTGAATCTTCCTTCTGAAAACACAATCGAAACACAACTAGCACAAGAATTCAAGATAATCTGTTAATGAGTGTTGTATGTGGACTGTATTTGTCTTAATATTTGTCTTAATGCATTATTAGTTTCATACATCTCTATTATACCCACAGGTGATTCAAAATATACAAGATTCAAAAAAGTAAAGTGATTTTAGAGAATGACCTATTTTCAAGACAAAATCCTGCATCAAAAGTTAAAACAAAATAAATCCATATGACTAATCATATTAGTTACCAATGAATTGAAGCAGGACTTACTAGGAGGGTCCCAGGGCTAAGTACCTTCCAGAATATAGAAAAGAATGTCTTCCAGAGATAACTCTTGGGTCCCAGCATAGTTTCACAATCGACACAGAATCTCTCAGCACCTAAAGTCAGTAAAAAAAAGTTCATGCCCAGTGATTGGAAAGCGTGATGGATGGGGAGCAGGCAATTTCTGCTAGAAAATTCAATAAATCTTCAAGATTTAATTTTTTCAAGAGAAAGTTGCAAATGCAATGCGTTAAACACTCAAATTGAAAATGCGGAAATCAGAAACGCAATCAAAAGTTGTAAACCAGGCTGTGTCATAATATTGAATATCAATTGTTCATTCCATTAGTGTAGAGACCAACAATGGGTGCTATTGTTTATTTCATTTATATGTAAATGTACGCACCATATACCCATCCTATAAGGACAGATTCTATTATTGCCAGTAGAAAGACAGACCAGCTCGCTGCATATGAGTCCATTAATTGTAGCATGTACATTCCACCCTGAAAAATATGAAAAAAGTCTGGGTACTAGCCCCTATTACCCCCTCCCCCCCCCCCCTCCACTCCACACCTCGCCACAAGGAGTGAGGTAGATAAGGGGGATTCAGAAAGGACGATTCTCGGTTTGGAGAACGAATTTCATCAATCTAAATGAACATTATCCCTGCTTCGTACAAATTTGATTTTTTTTTACATAATATAGATTTGAATGTCTTCTTTTGAATAGTCATAATTTAATTTGGGTTATATTTCTAGATTTTTTGCAAAAAAATATTAGCGCAGTACACTGATGAACTTTTTTCCCCAAATCGAGACTTGTATTTTATTGAATCGGTCAAATTGAGCATTATCCCTGCTTCAGACCAATTTGTTATTTTTACATCTTGTAGTTTTTAATGTCCTCTTTTGAATATTCATAGTTTAATTTGGGTAATATTTCTATATTTTTCATGAAAAAAATTATTAGCCCAGGAGACTGTTCTCCAAACCGAGAATCGTCCTTTGAAGCGAGATTAATCTGAGAATAAAATCTACTCTATTCTAGAAAGGCAAGGGATTACAAAATCATAATGTCACAATGTGTGTTTGCATTTTCAAATTTTCTATATTATTACAGTATTGTTCTTTCACATTGTGCTGTATTGGTCTTTTCTTTTTCAGCAGTTGTTTGTGCTCTGTTGTGTTGCTGTTGCTATGTCATGTGCCATATTTTATCATGTTACTATCTTGTCAAAAGTGATATATCTGTTGCCCATTCTCATAATATGTCATTGGTTGTGCTATATTATTTTACGTTGAGTTGTATTGGTTGTATTATATTCTGTTGTGTTGTATATGCTGTGCTTTATTTTATTGTGTTGCATTAGTTGTGCTACATTGTGCTGTGTTGCATTTGGTGTGGTATACTGTATGGTGTTGTGTCACATCGGTTCTACTATATTGTTGTGTTGCATTCGTTGTGTTGTGTTACATTGGTTGTGCTGTGTTGCATTTGCTGTGGTATATTGTGTTGTGCCACATCGTTTCTACTATGTTGTCTTGTGTTTCATTGATTGTGCTTCATTTGCATATTGTGTCGTGTTGCATTTGCTGTGGTATATTGTGTCACATCGTTTCTACTATGTTGTGTTTTGATTCATTGATTGTGCTATTGTATTTTGTTGAATTGGTTGTGCTACATTTATCTGTATTGTGTTGCGATGGTTCTGCTATATATTACAATGGGATAGAGGCCCACGACTACATTGATTGTTTTGTATCAGTTGTGCTATATTGCTACTTACATTTGTACATATAGTGAGGCCCCCGATGTATCCCAGAGTGCACATAGCAAGGACGATCCACGTCTTACGTTCTCTGTAGTCTGGGAACTTATCTAGTAAAGCAGTGGTGACAGTTTCTAGCAAAGCAAACTAAAAAATACATTAGGTATAATATATCTTACCAACCGCATGTGGATGATTTGAACACTACTAATTCATACCTATAATGATAATGAGCTTGATCAATGACGTCATAATATCCAGACACTATCCCTGATTTCTGCTCTGAAATTGCATGAGTAACATCAGAACTAATAGATTGCACGATTGGCTTATTTCAGGGAAATGATAACGGGACTGGATTAAGAGATTTCCATAATATCTATGGGTCAAGACGACACCGTCATACTTCATCAAATGTTATCTGCACAAAAGATAACATCCATTAGATATGAGTTCCTTTGTATTTTACAGAAGTTTACTGGGATAGATACATGTACAATCATGACAGGTATGACGTGTTAATTATTTTGTTGCAATTATAGTAAATTGTAGAATTCCACGGTCATTGGTACATGATTTCATGAAACAGCAAGCAAACAAATGATTAAAAAAACAAACTAGCAAACAAACTATGACATTTATGTCATTATTTAGCAATTCTACTCTACCATACTATCGAGTCCTAATGTGAGAAGCATCACAAAGAACAGCACGGCCCATACTGGAGACACTGGTAGTCTAGTTACTACCTCGGGGTAAACAATGAAGGCAAGCCCGGCACCTTAAAATAGGGAACATGGTCACAGTATTTAAAACAAGGAAAATGCGACTGGGAAATTACCCTGCGCGCAGAGTCTAGTTATAAACTGCTAAACTGAAGCTCTCTTTTAAGAAGTGAAGTCGAACGATTGCAAAGGGTATTGGAAAATGTGCATTTAGTGTACATACTTCATGTCTAGAATATAGAAATTATGCATACCTTGGTCAACAACTTTACCGACATCAGTTTTCATCTCATGAGCAAGATAGCCGACAATGCTAAATATGACAAATCCAGCAAATATACTGGTACTAATGTTGCTAATAGACACTATCATCGCATCTCTGAAATATTACAGAACAAGTGCATATACTAGTACAGATTTTGCTAATAGACACTATTATCGTCGCATTTTTGACAAATGACAGTCAGCAAATATAACATTACTGATATTGCATTGGGCACAATTGGTATATAGCCATTTAAAAACACTAAATGCGTATACGTTGTAATAACCTATTGTAGTCTACTAATCACAGGGACTATCCAGGCCCCGCTGGCATCACGAGCAATGAGCTCATGTTAGAAGCGGGGCCTTGAGAGATATGATAAAATTGAATATTTTCTATGAAACTTCAGTAAGTGAAACTCAGTACAACTTTATTTCAGAGTACAATGGCCATTTCAATTGAAGGGCAACGCCGTTCTTCAACTATAAGTATACTTTATGATATCTCTCAAGGCCCCGCTTCTAACATGAGCTCATTGCTCGCGATGTCAGCGGGAACTTGCTCACGATGTACATGACCTGGATAGACACTGTGATAATACTAAGGCTGTTATTTTACATACTTGAAGCAGTCATTGTAGAACTTATTGTAACTGGCCAGTGTGATGAGACCACCCCATGCTGGACTTAGTGAGAAGAAGATCTGCACTGCCGCGTCAGTCCAAACCTAAAACGCTTAAATTATTCATAAGGAAAAAATGCGCAAGATTTAAACAGTAAAACGATACAAAAATAAAAAAAAATTGTCAAATACCTCGTATAGAAAACATTTTATAAAATTCATGTGTTCGGAGTTGTTATTTTATCAATAATTGTATTCTCCCGGTCACTAACTTTTTCTTCTCCTTCGGGCTTACCTTGGCAGTTTTGAGCCTTGAGAAATCTGGCGTGAGGTAGAACCGTATTCCCTCCCCCGCCCCAGGCAACGTTACGCCCCGGAAGAATAAGATGATAAGCACCACGTATGGAAACAACGCAGTGAAATAAACGACCTAAAGACAAACGCAAAACATGATAATTTATTATTCTAACTGACGGCATAATAATAAACTTCTACATTTGATCAGATAGCTCAATTCGTTTTTCGGAAAATAAAATAAGGATTATATAATAGAAAAATTGGTACGCTTTTTGACATGATGATGCTTTTTGGACAACAGTTTACAATCTCTTCCCTTTTGAAAACCTTCAACGACATTCTAGTAGCTCACCTTTCCTGAGGACTGTACTCCTTTACTTAGACACAGAAAGACGATAAGCCAAGCCAAAAGGAGACAAAGCGCCAACTGCCAGCGTATTGGACCCATATCGTCCATACCCTTTGAAATAGCCAGCACATAGTTTCTGAAAATGACATCAACATGACAGCTGACATAGTGTAATATGAAAATAATGGTAATGTAACTCTATTAAAAACGTATAGCTTGCACACGTTTCCAAATGGTTACCGATCTCGAAACGATATTCTGAACACACATCCGCACATCTCATAATTTTGACATTGAATTAGATGATTACAAGTATATAGTACAAGTTGCCATCAACAATATCATGTCTGATATTGAGTTTATTTGGCGGGTACTAACTCAAAATATTCTTCAGCCGGGGGTCTTTTAGTCATGTTGACAGTGAGGCTGGCAATGCTGTAGCGTTCTACCATGGTGTTGTTGAAGCACGTCTTATTGTAGTAAAGGCTGCCATTAGTTTGTTGGCAATAGTCAGCTTCTTTATACGAGTAACAGTCTGCGAGATGAAATCATTCATGTTTATACAAATGGTCATTTATTAAAGGACATCTTAAAAACAGCATCAGATGAAATTATTCAAATCGGAAGTAATCTGAAAAGGGCTGGATTAATTTCGAAAATCTAGAACTGAACAAAACCTTGATTCTTTTGGCTTCTATTTAAATCTGGACAGAACTGGACCAATCTAGTTTGAACATTCGCAAGTACTAACTGTTTTAAACCAGCGGTATCTGGTTAAAGCTAGATAAAAACAACCCAAACCAAATTATGTCACTAGATTTAACCTGAACAGACAGCGCTTGCACATCATGTTTTTTTGTCTCAATAGCAGCTTGACAATGCAACAGAACAGTTAGTTTTCTCGTTGCGGAAGCTCAATATAACCACCAGTCCATTATACTCGTACTTACACTTTACTCAACACGAGGATTACACAAAAATTTTATTTACTAACTATTCGAGCTCCATCCGGGTCCACATGTATCCCACGGGAGAACATCTGTGAAGGATGCAAATAGATAGAAAAGGGTCCAGGCGATGATCATGTTATAGTACAGGGCCACGATGCTAGACACTATGATCATACCATACCCAACACCTAGAAACATAAACATAACACAAACTTTATTCAAATACATTTTGGCCCATATTTACTATATCAGCTCTACAATTCTTAGCTACATGGATGTTGAGACTGAAGCTGCAGCATTCATGAAAAGCCAAATAAATAACTGTTTTATCCTGACCTCAAACAGGAGATTGTAACTATTTCTTTTCAGCAAATGATAGAAAAATACTCTTCATCTTTGAAAGGTAATATGTCGATGAGAACATATCAATCTGTATTTTAACAAATCAGAGGTCATGTATGTTATTGACCTTGGGCCGGGGAACTGCAGGTAACAGGGGGAGTCTCACACACAAGTACAATGTTAATGAACGCATAGAATCGCTTTTAAATGGCTCAAATAAGTGACTTCCATTCTTACATCTGTAGACTCATTATTCAAAGCTTCGAACAAATTGTTGTTACGGTGACATCAGTCTACTATAGACCGAAGACGGAATATTCTAAGATGCGGGTATAATTGCTCAGTCTTCTTTGACATTAATTGTGCATACAGACAGTCACACTACAATAGAATTGCTTTATCCAGAGTCTTCTCTGTTGCTGGATATGTCGTCACATCTCGCAGCCCAAAGTATTATGTAATTGTCATTCTACTAAAACCAGGATAAAAGGTATTCCAAAAGTAAAATCTCGTATTTGTTAATGGTCTTCTTATTCCGCACACGTCATGTCTGACGTAAACGACATCCTTTCTTTGCTGTTGTTAATCCAATAAAGACATCTGTCAAACTATATTTCCCTCACTTCTTGTCATTACTGATGTGAAAAATTGTTAAAGAATTGTATCCTGTCTTGTATCCACGCTATACTAAGATTACGAACTATCATAGAAATACACCATCGATTTAGCAACTGGCTACCGGCAAGTCAAAACAATGAAACGTGCCAGGCATTGTATGTGGAATCAATTTCGGGGTTTCCAAGCAATGTCTTGTACGAAGTGGCTTTTATTCTTTCAAGTGGAATTTTCATTATTTCTGCTATGTCAACGTCACCTTGATTCATGTTAATAAGGGCTAATTTTCTGGATCGTTAAAATGCTTCTTTATTGCATCAGTTAAAATAATCGTCTCAGATACATCTCTGCTCATAGCGGTTCTAAATGGTAAAGACTGTGTTTCAAACAACTTGGACTTAATCTGAACATTTTTTTTATGTTAGATCAATGGTCATGGTCATGGTCGAACAGGAATGTGCCGTATAATACACATTTGTATCCCAAATTCATTCCAACTGAAGTTCTAGAACTTCTAGGTAGGCACCAAACGCTTGAATATTTGGATTTGGACATTTTGTATCCCTCCACTATTTCCAGGATCTGGGAAATGAGATATCCACTTCGATGCCCATTCGGCATTTTACGACGATAGGTTCATTTTGACGGAAAATATGCGCCTGTTTGTCTTCATGTCTTCTACCTAATTAAATTATACATTAAATAACTTTCATGGGATCATATGATATGCATTTTACTGGTATATCTAGCTTACCTTGAAACAAAGGGCAAAATCTCTGGAATATTGCAACAGGTCCAAGACTTGCAAATTGTCCAAAAGCCAGCTCCATAAACATCAATGGTATCCCAACTAACATCAACATCACAAGGAAAGGTAGCAAAAAAGCGCCTAATAATAAAACACATTCACACATAGCTAGGCAAGGTGTGTCCGATTCCAGCAAATCCGAACAGAGTTTTCACATAATGAACAGTGTGTGAAATATCGATAACACACGCAAGGTCGCTAGTTAAACAGTTGTCATGGTGATGAATGAATTTTTCACATTGGATTTGATGACTTGCCAACTTGACCCTCGCAAAAATTTCATTGAAAATGTGTTCTAGTGATTTCGTTCCTTTTAGATGATTTTATAGAAAAATTGCAATGTGTGAAGAATTTAAGCCCAAGACTCAATGCATTGTAGCTGCTTCATTCCACTCAGGCGTTGTTTCCTAAACTGCATTCCCTCTGCGCGGTCATGCAGTTTTGGAAACAACACCTTCATTGTATGATTCAGCAAAAAATGCATTTAAGTCTTGTGCTTAAATCCTTTATTTCATTTGGATTATATACATACACGATATGGATTTAAGTCAACGAAGAGGTCTTGGGCGTTTTGTGATATCTATAATGGGCACTTGCCACGCATTACTAATAATTAACATTTAATTTCAATAATTTTAAGAAGGCGAAGAGAGGCTCGAATTGAAAGACAAACTGATCTGCTTTGAAACAGACTTAGTGTACCCAATTATACCTCCACCATTGCTATATGCTAGATAAGGGAACCTCCATACATTTCCCAATCCAACAGAGTACCCGAGAAGGGACAGCAAGAAGTCGAACTTTCCGGACCAGTTGCCCCTGTCTGACGTCATATCCGCCCCCGTAGCCTCGATATCATCTCGATCTGCTAATTCTGTTAATGGTGCTGTGCTCTCGGTGTTGCTCATAGCATCTGAACACTGAAATCAACAGAGACAATCTGTCAAATGGGTATAATGCAAAGGTTGGGGTCAATGGTGTGAACGGCACGCCAGATATTCCTAATATTTTTAGTTTATGAAATTTTTCCTGAACTGCATGAGTATTTTCATAAGGGTCGGGTCTTTCTTCACTTGGCTATGTCTACAAAGTTGTTAGGCTAATAGCTAGAACAAGAATGGATAAGAATGATGACGTATCTGAAGAATTACATCAGAGATCCAATCTGTCGATAAGATTATTTTTACAGTTCCCCCTTCAGTAAAAATAGTTTGTCCTCGTAAATTATATGTAATATACTTAACAAGGTCATCGTAACAACGTTCATTAAAGGTAATAAGAAAGCAGAGGTTTTATCTCATGTCAGAGCTGTCGTAGGACATAAGGCGTTCAATGATTCTAATTTCCTTTGATGGGATGAGGTGTTCTAATAATCACATCTTGAAATCACAATTACAGTAATTTCATTGTGCTTGCACATGTACGTTTAGACTTTAGAATAGCCAGTGTCATACATATACTAAGGTATATTTTGGAGGGGAAATCGATTTTGTAAAGTGTCTTTTTGTTGGTTTTGTTGATTCAGATATTTCTTATTGAGATCATAAGTTGATTTTTGTTAATTAATGAATCCTCACATAAAAAGCAAATTGTTTTCACTAGTTTCCTTCTCATGCTCTCTCTCTCTCGTGCTACTGGATTTGAGCAACGGCTTAAAATAGGTATGCTTCGCTAAAAATAGAACCATCATTCAATTCTACGGTAATTAAATTGGATCGATGTATTATTTTCAGCCTGTCATCAATAATTTAGTTGATATTGAGTTTTGCGTCACTTTTATAACAGCATGGAACTGCAATAAGGTTATTCTTGTATGCTACATGCATTTTAAATGTATTTTACCGGTACGTCTTAAAGGATTCTTGAGTTTGGGTGGGGATGGCTATAAGTAATATACTTTTTGTCATTAAAAGTGCTTAGTTAAGTTATATCCAAACTGAACATGCTAATATCAATCCCTTAAACGCAGCGGTCCATGCACCATGAAGAAAGAATGAACTTGTAGAAGGTACATAAGACCTCGAATGACAGTTGGTATCAAATGACTGTACGATCAATAGAGAGCTTACGTTAACGAGATATGGTGCTATGCTCAGGTTGAAAGCCTTAAAATACTACTGCCCGAAGTTCATGAAGTTTGTTCCTAATTCACATTTTCTAAGAAGTGACTATTTCATAATTCATTTATGACAATTCCTTCTTTCTCAGTCTTCTACCAATATTATCCTTATGACTTAAAGCATGTAATGCGAATGAGTATTATTTGATATTATGGATGAAAGTATAAATCAATGCAGGCACATTGGATCCTTAAAGAAACATTCAACCCGTTGTCTCTATCAAATCCATACCATCTTGGCGGCATTGACGATTTCAGTAAGAGAACCAAGTCATGCATCAATACATTGAGCCATTTCCAATGTTTTTTCAGCAAGATTTAAAAGCCTGTGTTATGAATAGATTTGTTATTTCATAATTATTCTCAAGAAGCTTTAAAAATGGACCTTCGAATGTGACAAAACACTCCGTTTTGCTTTTACACCGCACCATCTTCTGCCGGTGCTGAATGGAATTTATGCCATGCGTTCAGCATCATTTATTACATGATTGCTGCGAATGATTGCTGCGACAGTTTACAGGCCCGTAAGACACTTTTCTCCATGGGGGGGGGGGGGGGGGGTGCGGTTTTAACTAGAGAGAAAATGAAATTGTCAATTTTTTGCCGCGTAAATCAAATTGCGTAAGTCACAGGGGGGGGGGGGGGGGTCGGTTACTCCCTATATTGGGGCCACTCAGCCTATTTTGTAGTATTTTATTGTTTCCGTATTGTTTTTAGACTAAATATTGTATGAGCAATTCGGAGAAACACTGGAATAGGGTGAGGGTGTACTAGAAGGGCATAGATGCCCGAGGACTTTTTCCAGTTCAAGATCACATTCAGTGATTTCTGGACTCGTTCAAGGTGTTTTAATTGAAATATAATCAATTTATAAGAAATTCAGATTTTTCGGTCATTTTCTTTTAAGGGGAGCGAGGGGGCAGCAAGGAAAATTTTACTCATTCAAGATGCTGTCTGGTTAATTCTGAGCACTTTTAATGTCTTGTAAATGTAAATGAATGCTTTAGTTGTTGGGGATGGGCTGCCAGAAATGTTTATTTTTTATGATTTCATTATGTCACTTGGTGACTTCTAGGCACTTTTAAAGTGTTTAAGATTAACAAATGCAACTTCCAAACATGTGATGAGTGACCCATTCCCCCTAGAAAATTTTACACTTTTGAGATGCTATTTGGTGCTTTCTGGACACTTTTAAAGTCAATGAGTAAATAAAAAAAATGTGAATTTTTTTTTCAAATTCTTTTTGGGGGTCAAAGAGAATGAGAGGGTGGAGTGGGGTGGGGTGCCAGAGGGGGAGCAAAGGGTTGTCCCCAAGAAACATTGACCATATCAAGGTACCATTTGATGATGTCTGGGCAATTTAAAAATGTCTAAGACAATACATGAAATAAATTCAGAATTTTTGTCAATTGTTTTGTGGGGGATGTAAGGGTTGGCCTACTTTTCTAGAAAATTTTACAATTTTAAGATGCTATTTGGTGTTTTCTGGGCACTTTCGAAGTGTATGACTCGATAAAAAATTTGAAAAAATCACAGAGGGGGCAGTGGGGTTGGGATGCAAGAGTGTGAGTAATTGTTAGTCTCCCAGAATCATTTTACTATATCAAGGAGCTATTTGATGATGTCTGGGCACTTTACACGTGTCTGAGACGATACATAAAATAAATTCAGAACTTTTAATTCAATTGTTTTGTTTTGGGTGTGAGAAGAGGCCCACTCCCCCAAGAATTTTACAATTTTAAAACACTATTTGGTGCTCTCTGGGCACTTTCAAAGTGTATGAGTCAATTAGAAAATTGAGAAAATCAAAAAAAAATTCAATTTTTTGGAGTGGTGGCAAGGGGGGCGGGGGGGGTACAGGAGGGGGAGGTGGGGTGGGATGGATGGATGGGGATCCCGAAGGGGAGCAAGTGTTAGTCCCCCAGAAACATTGATTATATCAAGGAGCTATGTGATGATGTCTGGGCACTTGGGCACTTTAAAAGTGTCTGAGACAATACATAAAATAAATTCAGAACTTTTCCATAGTATTGAGGGGGTGTGAGGTTTTGCCCACTCTCTCTAGAAAATTTTACAATTTTAAGATGCTATTTGGTGCTTTCTGGGCACTTTAAAAGTGTATTTTTTGTGGGGGGGGGGTGTCAAAGGGGAGTGCGGTCGCACCCATCGCACCCCCCCCCATCTGACGGCCCTGGTTTATTCAATTAAGGTATTATTTCAGCCTTCACAAATCTTTTACCAATTCATTATACATCGTGATTCGGTTCGTGGTCCTTTAATTGAAAATGGAGCTACGCGAGGGTTTTTCTAGCTAAATATGTCGCCTTTAATTTTTAGTGTAGTAGAGCGAAATCCAAAGGTAAATCAAATCCATTGACATCTCAGAAACGTCCCAAATCAATTGACATCTCAGAAAGGTTCCAAATCCATTGACATCTCAGAAACGTCCCAAATCCATTGACATTTCAGAAACAAGTTGGTAAAAACCTTCTATTTGGAGCTTATTGTCATTTTTTTCCGAGAATTGTGCATCTTTCAAAACATATAATTCAACTCATGTATAGATCAATATAAGTTATCACGTATACCATAGATATGAGGCGATATTAAAGAAGGGGGTACGTATGTTATCACACCTTTTTATTTTTGGTTTGATCCATAAAGAAACTTCCTACTAAATTTATTAAATTGGTATTAACTCCAACTTATTTTTGTCCATGTTAGTTTTCATTTAGGCATATGCGTAGCCGGGGGGGGGGGTGCGATGGGTGCGATCGCCCCCACTCCCCCCAACCCATCCAATAAAAATAAAACCATGAGAAAGAAGAAGAAAGGAGCTTTAAAATGCTTTTTATTTGAAGCTTCTACTAGCTCAATTTTGAAGGAAGTTGCATCAATTTTGGTAAAATCGCACCCCCTGATTGAAAACCGATGTTTTGGCGATCGCATCCCCTCCCCGTATAGAGTCACTCTAAATATTCTTGCAGATTGTTGCTGTATCATTAATCTTAATGCTAGACAACGTTCCAAGTTGCATCTTTATTAGTCTTTTAACTTGCGTATTTCTCAGAGAGAAATGGATTGACCGCTTACAAAGAATTGGGAGTGGATCGATATTAATTTGATTCCTCGATACCTTGGAACTGTACCGTTAATTCAGTTGGCCCAGAGGGTAATCCGTTTACTTTAAATCATAGACAGATCAAAGCTAGAGATTTAAGCCGGTAGGATAAAAACGTTTTTCTTAAGAAAAGCTTCATCTTTAAATGGCTTATAATTGGGTGTTGTTAAATAGGATGCTTATAATTTGTTGGTGATGGGGATCATGGGGGATGCTAATAGTGGGAATGCTCATGATGGGAATTTTCATAATGGGAATGTTGACGATGAGAATGGTGATGACTGTAGTGTTGATAATGGGGATGTTCATAAGAGGAATGCCAATGTTGATGATGCGAATTGGGAGTGCTGTTAATGAGAATGTTGACGATGAAAATGGTGATGAGTGTGATGTTGATAATGGGGATGCTCAAAAGAGGAATGCTAATGTTGATGATGTGTATTGGGAGTGCTGTTGATGGGAATGTTGACGATGAGAATGGTGATGATTGTTGATGTTGATAATGAGAATGTTCATAAGAGGAATGTACATGCTCATGTTGTTAACGTTGATGAATGGAATTGAGAATCCCGATGGTCACAACCGACGATTGATTACATCCTCATTATTATAATATCAATGGCACGGGTGGCCTATATTGGAAATGAAATAATCTCGATCTGAAAAATGTTTGCAAATTT